GAGATTCACATAACAGCCGTTTCCTGCAAGACTCACACACATTAACATCTGGGGAAATTGTCTACTTTTTACATAATATTTTAGATATTTTTTAACTTTCACACGTTTTTAATGACGAGTCAAGAGGAACGGATAAAAACACCGATCACAATAGGGAGCAATATTAAAACAATAAGGAAATAGTAACGCATCTAGTTGAACGGTCAAAGTTTCAATTAAAAATAACGGACTTTTACATAATAGAGACAGTTCGGCGTCATATAGCTGTGTGCACTGACTGACTGACATTATCCTAATGTGCCCAGGGTCTCCAATAGGCCCTTGTTATATAGCACACCACTAAGCCCAATGTGTGACCATAGCTAATTACATACATAAATACTATTACAATAGAGTAATAGTATTTAAGCTATAGCGCTTGCTATACATATCTAATAACCTCTTTGGTAAAAACCGATGCTGGTAAAATCTATACTAATATTATAAAGCTGAAGAGTTTGTTTGTTTGTTTGTTTGAACGCGCTAATCTCAGGAAGTACTGGTCCGATTTGAAAAATTCTTTCAGTGTTAGATAGCCCATTTATCGAGGAAGGCTATAGGCTATATATCATCACGCTAAGACCAATAGGAGCGGAGCACCAATGAAGAATGTTTCAAAAAACGGAGAAAATTTATTACTATTGAGAGACGCAGACGAAGTTGCGCGGGTCAGCTAGTATAAGAATAAAGCAAGCCGAAAACGTGATGCTCGGTGCGAGAGAGAAAGCTGCCAAGAGGCCCCGTCTTGCTGACTCTCTCCAACCCATAAAGAGTACTGCACTGCGCATGTTCACCTGATTAGAAAAAGACAACAAGAGGGTGCCTCTCGGCAGCTTTCTCTCTCGCACCTGACATCATTGCAAAGTACAGGGCTAGATAGAGATCGCTTGGCCTTTTTTTATATCTGAATGGAACGGATGCTCAAGGCTGTTATTCTCCGTGTAAGCATGGTACATCACGTGTCGTTATACATTTATAGATCGGGGCATCGTTATTTCTTATCAGTTCAATGGAATAAGCATTAGAAGCCCCTATGTAGACCCGTATCTAGTAGTGCACTTAGAGCTGAAGTAATAATTGGAAAAGCAGCTTTTTATCTGTATTATCTACTAGCTGCGCCCCCTGGTGTTACCCGCGGTTGTAGTAGTACCTTGCTCATCCCACGAGAGCACTCTATGATAAAAACTTATTAGTTTAATGATTTCACTTTATACAGAAAGAAAATATAGTTTTCCTGCCGAAACTCAGCTGCTGACAAAAAAGGGTAAGGCTAAGTTAGTTAGGTGTCTTACAAAAACTTGCGGCATTACATCACTCATCCTTCCATCACTCAGACGAACAGTTTTTTGACCGAATTCTTACGTTTATCATCATCATCATCATTGCACGCCACTTCGATCGATTTTGGGCTTCAAAAGTAACATAACATAAGTCAAAACATAATAATATAGAATGTATAAACATAACCTCTTCAACCTTTAACTGGAATGCCTTTAATTCCAGACTTCTATTAATACTAATTATTCCTTGTCCAATTAAATACGTGAGATACTTTGTGCATTTAATATAGATTTAAATTGCTCTTTACAGTACATAATTAAAACGAATATTTTAGAAGATATCAAAGGTATAAACTCTAGGGGCAAAGCGACCGTCGCCGTCGATGTCTGTCGCGGGTAGCAACAGCGGGCAGGATCGGAGCGGGCCTATAATGATTGCATAAAAGATGTCCTGTAGTATAGTCCTATCATAACATTAGTATAATTAATTACTCTACACTGACACCACATTAGTAGTATTAGTAGTATCTACATTGCACCCGTGCGAAGCTGGGCCATATCGCTAGTAATAAATAAATTGAAGCGATCGTCGAAGATTGAGAGATTAAAAATATATTCAGTTGTAAAAAACTTAAATATTGCAATATGGAATATATCCTGTGTCGCTGGGGACTTAACAAACATACACGAAACGGACACAAAGAACACCTAGACTCAGAACGACAATTTGTGGATCACACAAATGTGGGGATCGAACTCACAACCATCAGCGTAGTAGGAAGCGGCATGGCGACCGCTTAAACCACCACATCCGTACAGTGGAACTACCTGTTGAATATTGTATTATCATTATGCACCAGGGTGGACGGTGGTTCTGACCGCCCGGAGTAGAGCCTCAGAGGGTATTTTCTGTTAGAGCCATACGCGGTTGCCGCACCGTGTTTACGGAGGCGGCGTGCATGTTGGCCGGATTACCCCTTTGCTATTTGGAGGTGGGCGGGTGTTCTGGGCGACTAGCGGCAAAGAGGCTCCTACCCAAAGAGCCACGATGGCTTGTTGATTGTTCGTCGGCGACGGATTGAGTCCGAGTGGAGGTTGTAATCCCAGGCCCTCTCCGCCGCCTTCTTCGATGGATGCGACCGCGGTGAAACATCTGTCACTACTGGCCATGGAGCGTATGACGGCCCGGCGCTGCGGCGTCCAAGCCGGGCAAGTTGCCAGTGTGTGATGAGCCGAGTCCTCACCGCAATCGCAGTGGTGACAGACGGGACTTAATTCTCTCCTAGCGACCGAGTGCAGGTACTTCCAGAAGCAGCCGTGCCCGGAAAGGACCTGCGTCAGCCGGAAGGAAAGGGTTCCGTGCTGCCGCTTACTCGAGACGGTGCGGTAACCGCGTATGGCTCTAACCGCCAATATCCTCTGAGGGCGCCCTATTATAAGCGGTCAGAGCCGCCGCACACGCCGGTGCAACGTACTGAAGCCTGTCCTCCTCACCATTTCCGCAGTGGAGACGACGACTGCGCGTGTAGGACCTCCGGACACGTGTACAGGCCGCACGGAGATCTTTGGAAGCCGACGACATCATTTTTAGGGTTGCGTACCCCAAAAGGTAAAAAAGGAACCCTTATAAGATCACTTTCTTGTCCGTCTGTCCGTGTGTCACCACCGATTTTCTCAGGAACGGGTAGACCCAAAAAAAAGAAGATCATGATGATGATATATTTACCAAAAGTCACTCCACACCAAATCATTGCACACACTGGAATTATAATAATACATTTTGCATATAAAATATAAATGAATAATAGGTGTAAAGAACAGTCGAAGGTCAATGTACAAGGAAACTTTACAATGGTAACTAAAATCAGTCAATGGTTGTATAGAAATGATCTTGCATTTTCACGATAATTCCGGTGTCATTCCTGCCACGATTTGTTATGACCAACGGAAGATAAAATTAGTAATGGTCGCGAATTGTGTATAGGCACTGATGTATTTCTATGGGAATTTTACTTTCCGCATAAGCTATTGCAATGGAAATTGTCATAAAAAATATTTTTTGGAACGAAGTACCTTATCGCGCGTTACAAGTTCTGACCGGATGAGAGCGAAACCGAAAAATGTGTAACGACACTGTAGCAAAAGTCTACCAAAAAGTGAAAGGAACTTCGTTCCGACCGGGGGTCCATAGACCTTTCACGCCGCTTTAAGGTTAATTTTGATGCCGTGGGAGAGCCATGCTTGCGTGTACTTGGGTTGGTTCGACCTATGTGACACCACGGTCTCTCAGAAAACCATTGTTAAGCCATTTTTTGCCCAAATGCCCAAATCGCCCTGATGTCTCATTCTCCCAGGGACTCAAAGGGCGCCAACGCATTTGTGACTCTTGAGTTGCACCAGTGCTATTCTCTAAGAAAACAGCCGCTACAACGTCGACCTTCAAACTAAGTGCGTTTGAAATTCGACGCTGTGACAGCGCTGTAGTGTCGAATGCAGCTGTCGGTGAGGGTATGCACTTACCATCAGGTGACCCATCTGTTCGTTTGCTCCTATAAGCAATAAAACGTCGAAGCTGTGTAGAAAAAATATTATGTTGTACAAAAAAATTACGTAAATTCACTTGCAAAATAAATGCTTAAAATATTTGACTCTTTATATCTCTCTCTCTCTCTATTTGACTATTTCTTACGAGGTCTACCTTTCTTATAATAACGATTATGAAGCTCATAAGCATTCTGTCAACTATTAGCGCTTGGTCAATTTTGGTTTTGAATGAGCGATAGCGATAGGATATGACAATGTCTATTTTATAGTATTTAATAATATTTAGTAGGTACATCGTAAAAGCCGACTAGGACTCTGGCCTACCTACGCTGGAGGACTGTTCGGTGTGGGCGTCTGACCGCGAGGTCCTGCTCGTACAAAGCTGACGAGACCTGTCCGCGCCAGCAATCATTACTGCCATGCTGGCTGGGGCGCAGTGGTCTGAGAGACTGTAATGCTAAAGTGGTACCTGTTGTGGATTCGGATATGCAGGTCGACATTACTTACTTTGATTATAAAAAAGCGTTTGACTTATTTAGGACTTATTAGGTAAACTTGTTGAAGTCAGGTGTACACCACACTTGCTGAAATTATTCAGTACTTATATATAGTATCGACAGCAATATGAAGATTACAGGGTGTGTGTGTCTGATACATATTTCATCACATCTGGGGTTAGTCAGTATGTAGCTAAAGGGAGTCAGGTGTGCCACAAGACAGTGCTGGACGGCTGAGCCTCGGTGTGCGGGACCGCTATATGTGGAAGAGGCGACATCGACCGCTGCTAGTCGTCCCTGCGACCTCAACCAGCTTACTGGCGGAAATGCCATTTACCTGCGCAGTCCGTGTCATCAACGAAGTTAGCACTAGAATTGATATATTCTCGTGTATTCTCGAGTTTGTTGTAATAAATTAAATGAATAATACTTATTTATGTTATGTGTGTTGTTATCAAATGGATTTAATCTTCCTAATCTATGTAAAGTATATACTTGTGTAATAAACATAGTAGTGGAAAAATACAATTAAGAGGATTATAATTTTAAATGTATTAAACTCTTTTAATAACCTGTTTTTGTATTATTTCGCACAATTATTTAATTTTTATTATACATTTTATTATAAAAGTATCTTTTTATGGGCGAGTATCCAGAAATGTGAGTTCATTTCAGGATAGCGTTTTACTTATTAAAAAATACCTTTTTTAAGGTTCCGTAGCAGGACTAGGAATCCTTAATGTTACACAATGTCCCTCCGTCCGCGGCTTAGTTTAAAGACGTATGATGGTAGTACGAGTATATAATAACATAACGAACTTAGAAGGAAAACTAAGACAAGTCGCCCAAGATGAAAAAAGATGAAATGTTTTTATGGTGTAACTAGCAGTAATGTGATCATATCTCATGATTATATGATATATATATGTGCTGTGATTATATCACATTGTGACAGGAACTGGAATCGGTATTCTGCTAATCTTAGTAATACTTTATTACGAAAAAAAATGTTTTATGGCATTTGTGAGATCGAGAGTATATCGGAACTAAATTGTGGCTGATTTTTTTTAGTATGAGAATCACATTGATTGAAAATTTACCTTTATCAATAAAATCACTTAGAAAAGAATTAACTAATATAAAAAATGTTTCGCGAACATTTTAATGTTTTGCTATGTGCATATTTATTTAGAAAGCTTTTTATTTACGGTTAATTAAGAGTAAGTATACCTATAGGTGCTTATAGGTTTTGTTGTTTAGTTTTGCAGTAATGTGTATTTTCTTAATTTCCTTCACACAAGTCAAATCAAAAGTCTTATTTTACCCCCTTAGGGGTGAAATTTGTTGGACAATCCTTTCTTAGTGGGTTTGTAACATAAAAGAATCCGCTCCCAAAATTTCATGTTTGTAGCCCTAGCGGTTTAGACTCTGCGTTGATGAATCAGTATCAATCATCATCAATCAAGTAATATATAAGTATAGATTACCGTTGAGTGAAGCCTAGCGCTACCAAATTACGCTATCGTAAAGAATTTCTTCTCTTTTGAAGTGTTGAGAGTTTGTATTTGATTGTGAATGAGTACCTACCTATTCTTCTGATCTGAGGATGAACGATTCTACCAGCCTCTGAGTTTAGTTTAGTCGCGATGTAAAGTTGAGTTAAATCACTAATATATGACGAATCCTGTAACTAAGCTCTGACAATAGGCCCATAACTAAGATTAAGATAGTGAATAATCTTAATCTTCTATAGGGTAAACAGAAATATCATTCAACACCTATCAGTAACCTATAGTTTCGCCGTATGCTATGCTATATCTCCCTACAGAAAGCAGTTCGTTTTGGCGACGCGGCGACGTGATTTGGATTTACCCAGTGAATTAGGTCAGTTTTCTATAGTTCAAAGGTACCGTTCATCACCTTTAGTGCAGTAAGTTTTATTTGAACCACATGCCATGTCATTTTACCCTATAGAAAGAAGTTCTTTTTGCGACGCTTGGCCTCCCTCGGGAAAGGCAATTATTTTTAGACGTAAGACATAAGTTTACTTCTTCCTTTAGGAGCAGATAGAGATCACAGAGTTTTAACAAACAGGGTTTTAACAATAAAACTTTAAATGTTAAACATAACAAACTTCTTTTTGGATTTCGTTTACGACTAACCATTTAACAGAGATATAAATAATAAATAAAATATATTAAATTATTAACTTCAGTCAATTACTTATAAAAACTAAATATGACCAGAATAGTAAGTCTAAAAAACTAACAAAATACTACTCTATACAACTGTTCTATAATAAATAAATACACTGCTATTTTAATAAACCTAACACAATAGTACAAAATAAGCAAGTAAAAAACCTTTGTCTACTTCAAAAATTACACTATGATATCTTACAAGTTTACATTATGCATATGTTCATATGTATTTGAGAAAAAACATGATTCTGTGTACATAGGCATCTTGTTTACTTGGCAATGCTAAAATAAAGTCCGTCCCTTAATTTGTTTTATAAATTGTCGAGCTCATAAATAACGTATCAAAGTGTTGTGTTGTTACAGTGTGGCAAGATTTTATAGACGTCTGATCAAAGGAACGTTTTACCGAAAGTAAACATTAGTTAAATTTGACTTTGGAAATGCCATATACACATGTTTTTGTTTTCAACATGTATACGTAAGATTTTTTATTAATATATATTAAATTAATATTATTATGTCTAAAATAAGTTGAGACAGCTATCTAATCCCAAACTTGGCAGACATACAGATATACCAGACTGCAGATAAACAAGTTTTTTTTTTTTTGTGGCAATCCCTGCCGATGTCGACAATTCAGCCAAAGTCTAGTGTGTGATGAAGGTGCGTGTGTTTGTAGAGCCGTAGATGGACAAAACATAACCTCTGAAGGACCTCACCATAAACATGTTTTATTTTCTGTTTCGGATGTTATCAAATTAAATTTTCACATGATACTTTTATGTTACCATAATTCATATTTGTTGCGTATTGTATGATATGATAAAAACTGTCATAAATAATATCATAAAAAAATTATTAACAGTGGTAAGTTTTTCTTGATTAGGATATCGCAATGTTTATCCTTGAGAACTTTTTGTTGTTACCTACGTAATATGTTTAAAATCTGGTAATTGGAATGTGCATAATATATTTTTCAGGATGTGGTCCTTAAAAATTATGCACATATTTTATCAGATTTAGGTACTGCCAAAAATCAACCACAGTTAATTAATTCTAAAATAATAAGGAACCGCAAAACCAAGTTCTAAAAAAATTAAAAATGACGAATTGTAGAGGAGATCAAGCACTCCTAGAACTAACGAAGCATTTCTCAGTATTAACTCTTGCCACGATGCTTTACAAACAAAGAATAAGTTCAAAGAATTATAAACAAATTATTCAAAATTCACCAAAATTATTTTCGCATATGTATGAACCCATGAACCCTATGAAAATAAAACCCTGGCCTTCGTGGCAACTCATCCACGGAGTTATTATCATGTACTAAACGAATCCTAATCGTACTAGGGACGAGCTGAATCGCGCAACTTCGTTTGCAACTCTCAAGAGCCGTTTTTGCAACGCTCCTATTGGTCGTAACGTGATGTTATATAGCACTCCTCGATAAATGGGCAGCACCAAAATTATTTTTTTGATTTTGTAAATTAGTAACAGTAAAAAATTTATAAATCATATGATTTATCACAGGTGATTGTAATTTTATTCCATACCTAATGACTAATTTAAGATCAGTTTAAACAGGTATGAGTCGATATTTGTAACTATAGTACTGGTTTTATTTCCAAAGAATAACATCAAAATATGTATTGTTAACCGAGTTTCAACTTAGTTTAATCAAAGAACAAATAAAAAATTATACACATTAGATTCGACGCATGAATTATTACGCATTAATAATTGTAATTTTAATAATTTTAACGCATTTAAATGTGTATTTATAATTTATTAAACAGGTTCAATGTTTGTCGCTAAAATTAAATTTAGATTTTTTTAATCTTTTAAAACTATATTTGTTCACTTGTTTGTACAGTTTTTGTTACGTTTTAACGCCTGAATGTACTCTTCGAAAGCTGGTTGTAAAAAATATATCTTTAAAAGGTGTATACATACTCAGTGTATAAGAGTCCTTATCACGGAGGCTCATCACCATATATATACTAAGGCTGCGCGGGCGCAGTTCGTGTTGTCGCTTGCGCGTCTTCTCACGCGCTTTTGTCAAACCATTTGTATATATTTTTTAAAGTGGTCATTGTGATATAAATAGTGCAATTAAGTGAAAATTATTTTCAATTTAAATTAAAGGTATTTATTTGTATTTTTTTTTATGATAAATAATAACATTGTTAATTGGAGATTCCACCATCGAAGTATCCATCGAAGTATGTCTATGACTCTGTCAACTGCTAGTGTATATATTTAATCTATCTATGTATCTATATGTATATGTATATATTTATGTTATATAAATAAATGTTGGTTTGTGTAGGTACGCTGTAAAAACTCAAAAAAATCTACACTGATTGAGCTCAAGTTTTGACACAATAAACCTACAAACCGCTTCAAAGATTGTTTTTATCTATATTTCGCGTCAGTTTTGTTACTCATTTTTTATCAATACAACCAAAATTTGCGCGTAGCGTGGCACGGTACATCAAGTTGTTTATATATTTTCAAGCGCATAAATATGCCCGAATAATTGTTTTTTAGACCACAGATTATTTAATATAACTTTGGTGGCAGACTGGTGCGTACTATTATAATGCAGTAACTAGAAAAAACAATGATTAAATGTAGGTAATATGTCTAAGAAAAAAATGCAGAGAATTAGTAGTATTAGTTATGTAGGACAATATGATATGAAAATATTTATTTAGAAAAGTAAACTTTTTAAAGAAAAAAGAAATAGATTTCATGTACCGCCATTTAAACATTATAATTTTAAATGCCTGAATATATGTAGATTAACATATAAAGTAAATATAAATTCAAACAACATAAAAATATTAGACACGCAATACTATTGTTTATTGTGAATGTTATATATTTTTTGATCGTGTTAATTACTTTTATGCGACGCAAAAGTCATCGAAAGTAATATGAAAATAAAATATGAGTTGATAAAGGCTTTTTCGCTGTTTTTCCCTATAATGTGAATTTAAACGGGTGATTCCCTCGCTGGGGCCAGCGGTAAAGCGATATGTTGGACTCGAATTGATTAAAACCACACAGAGAGCCTGGTGTGAGTGTGATGATCAAGTAGAAGTGTAATAAACCTTGTGTGATTATTAGTGGAGAGTTCAGTGCGGGCCAGTCGCACCTTCTTTAGATCACACTAAGCCCTCTGTAAGAAATGGCTCGATCGCAAGCGACCCAGGTGTATCCTAGAGAGAAAGTCCTTGGCGACGACTTAAATTAGTCTAAATCAATCAAAAGAATTTTAGATAAACATAGTTACAGATATATGTATAGCCGAGATAAATAACTGTAATATAAACCATTTAATATAGGTATTGTTAGATACTTTTGCAAAATTTAAGAGTTTCCTTGTTTGATACATATTAACAATTACACATTTAAAAAAAATCTGATGAACCAAAAGATGAAGACTAGTATAATTGCCAAACTTCCTTTAAATAATATGTTTGAGAAGTTTAAGAATGCCTTAACGTTCCTATATAAATCTTAAATACTAAATACTAATCAACAACATTAAGTATGAAGTCTAGTAATTGTGAAATAATGAAAAAGTATAGTTTTATTTTGGTTTGGGGAAATATGCATGCTGCTTACAATTTAGCATTATATTTATTTAAGAACGCTCACAAACCAACGTATTAAATTGGCCAAACATTTGTATCTCATTTATGGTATACCAGTATATCAGTAGGTCAATAAGCCATTGCTATTATGAACATTATTCATTAAGAGAAAGTAGAATTTATGGACCATACACATGATTAGTTATTTTTAAACCGATGCAATGAAATAGGATATATGTATAATCGAGCAGAAGACGCAATTAGGAATCATTGTAATTTTAACCGACTTCATAAAAAGGAAGAGGATCTCTTCTTTTGGAAGAATATTCAGCTTGCTTGATCCTTGTACTACATTTCTTAAAGAAAAAAATATATTCCTGAGGGTGAAAAATTAAGGAATAAAAAATACAGTTAAGTTGTAGATAAAATTGTTTTTATTCTTAGGCAGCGATCGTCACACTGTTGTTTTTTGTCTTAATACAGTGTCTTGGCTGAAGTAGGATGAAGTTGACCGGGGATTTAAAAAATATTTTTTCCATCACGTATTAAATAGACTCATGTTGAACATAGCTTGTATAGTTTGGGTACTGAACATGGATGTTTATCCAAAAATATCCTCACGTATGTTTATACGTGAGGACATTTTTATTCTAAAGAGTAGGTATTTATAATACGTAGATAAACCTAGGTGTATGTGTAATATGGGTGAATAAAGCGGGTATATGCGTACATTTGGGCAACCTTTACGTATTAATATTATGCATACAAGCAAGAATTGAAACAAACAGACGATGCTCGGATATTTTATCGCTGTATGTCATGAACTGTTAAAATCCGCAAACAAACCGTTTTAAACTGTAAATACTGGTTTGTGTACTTAACTTCAAGCAATATCAGTGGTTTCATATGATTCAAACTCACAAGATGTAATGAGTAGAAGTCTTAACGCAATGATTATCGAGATTCCTGACCACCTCCATTTTAGGCGTTTGTTAACGGTACATATATTTTTAAATTTAGTTTTTCTTCTTATGTTTTGTAGCCTAATCTTGTCTCTTCTTTTAACTCCAATAATAATTCTTTCGATTTTGACATACTTGTAATGTTTTAAGTTGATGTTCAGTTAGTGCCCATGTATGATATCCGTACGATAAGCATTCAAGGATACACGTATTGTAGACTTTTGTTTTGTATTTGATAGGCATATCCGTTTCGAGCTATTAGTTATCCTTCTGTCTATTTCTTTTTACATTGTGTTTTTGGTGGTTATTAGTTGGCCCAAATAAATATACTCGTTGACGTACTGTATTTTTCCACCATTTACGTTCACTTCCACTTTCATAGAGTTTGTTATTACCTTCATTTTCGTAGTGTTGATTGATAGGCCTCACTTAGCAATTTCATTTGACAGTTGTTGTAGCATGTCTGTTAAGTTCTCTGGATTCTCAGCAAACAGTACAATATCGTCTGCTAATCGTAGATGGTTGAGTTTAACACCGTCAATGTTGAGGAAATTTATTTCCCATTCTAGGCTTTGAAAGATCATTTTAAGAACTGCAGAGAACAGTTTCGTTGAAATAGGATCGCCTTGTCTGACGCCTCTTTAAATTCGTCTCCTATTTGTTCTAGCTTGACTTGGGCCGTAATCTGTGAGTAGATATTCTATAGTATCCGGATGTATTGGCCTCAACTTCCTGACTTTCTAGTGTCCTCCAAATACTATCATGATTCAAGGAATCAAACGCTTTATTGAAATCAACGAACGCAATAAAATGGACTTTGTTGTATGCCTTATGTTTTTGAAGCACCTGTCTTAAGACATGAATGTGGTCTATTGTCGAAAACTTACTTCGAAAGCCAGCCTGCTATTTCGTTCGTTTCGTTCCTGTATACCAGTATATCAGTAGGTCAATAAGCCATTGCTATTATGAACATAATTTATTAAGAGAAAGTAGAATTTATGTTCCATACACATGATTAGTTATTTTTTAAACCAATACAATTAAATAGGATATTTGTATAATGGAATCATTGCGATTTTAACCGACTTCATAAAAAGGAAGAGGAGGATCTCTACCTTTGGAAAATTGTTTTTATTTTTAGGCGGCGATCGTTTTTGAGAAGTCATCAAATAGGACAAATCGGAAGAGTAATGCCTAAATGCGGTCACACGCAATTAATCGCAAAATGTAACTAAGTAAAGTAAAAGTTAAGGATATTTATAGGTAAATAGTGTATCGGTCGATTTAATGAACATTGGAAATATATTAAACATTTCATGCATAAATAAAAATTGTTGTTCCGAGTGTTCTTTGTGTGATTTTGAAAAATGAGGCACATTAAGATTTGTAATAACGTTCTGGGTGACATAGGCTCTATTATTGTCTCTAAAATTTTAAGAAAAATTATTAAGAAATTTTTTTATTGGCCCCAATTAATTTAGAGACAAGTGTAGTTTGTTTTTTTTTTTCTCGATGTTGTACCTATTTGAATACGTCACTCTTCCCTATGGTACGCCTATAAATAAAGTTATTCAGATGTAGAATTTGGAGTACACTAATATCAGCAACATAGGTGGCAATGAAACAACGTGAAAGTCCTTCGGTATTACCAAATCACTAAGATTATTTAGACATTTTACGGTATGCAGAAGTTACCATAAAAAATCAAGAGCGTATCTGTTCTTTTGGTTTTCTGTTAATTACAGTTTAAAATGATTTCTTTACAAATCTGCATAGCTTCCAATCACTGAATGGGATCAGTTCTCGTGTGACTGAATAATGCAACTTAAACCGTGGGAGGCAATTGCGGATAAAATATCACTATACTGAGGTAGACTGATTTCACAAAATAACCAGACTTGAATAGGAGAAATTATTACCATTACAAACCAATGCATTAAGTTTTTGTGAAATATTTAGCAGTAATCATATATAATCTGTGGAGTCAGTGCAGAGAATATTAACACACTTCTGTATTAGCAACCGTTACATTCTAAAGAAAACTTAAGCATTGCTTAAGGCAGAGTATTTAGTGTCACATCATAAATTATTTACACCAGACGTTCCTTATTTTGGTAAAAGTTATTTTTTGTAACACTTTTTAAAATGGGGCCGTTTTTCAATTCATGGCGAATGTTGTGTGACATACTCGGAATAATTCAAATGTTTACTGTAAGCAATAGAAAAATTCAGAAACGTTTTTCCTTATTGGTTTTATCCCAATGAATGAAAATTGCATATGATGCGTTGAGTATCGTATCGTGTCGTACCAATAACGAAAACTATGAAATCATTTAAGAACCTTCATTGATTTTAAAGATTTCGAGACTTTGCCATTATTTAAAGTGGTGATTCTCATTTAAGATGTATTGTTTGATCTAATGTTAAAGAATATTATGATGTTGAAATTTGTATTTATTTTGAAACAAAACTTTATGCAGTGTTTTATAAGTACGGTAGAATGAAAATAAGTTAAATTAAAAAACGAGCTCAAACATGCTTTTAACTCAACTACTTACTTAATGTTTATATTTAGAAAAAAACAAAATAATTTTGTTTAACACGGCTTTGCTCGCGTCATCGTGTAATAATTTCTTATTTCGTCTATCGAACTTCGAAAATGACGAATTACAAACTACCATTCCTCCCTTATTTTACCCCCTTAGGAGTGAAATTTCTTGTTGAGTGGTTAAAAAGCATCAGGTACATAAATTTCAAGATTGCAGCCCCAACGTCTAAGGCTCTGCGTTGATGAATCAGTCAGCGCAAGTAATTTTATATATGTATACATACATATATAATAACCAAAGTAGATACTTTCTAATACAATAATGTGACTGAGTGTATACGAAACTACAAAAACTAAACTAATTTCGTAAATTGAAAATATTTTGGTCTTTGGTTTAAAATATTAAGATTTTTTTAATATTAAAACATAAAATACCGAACAATATCATATAAATATTATCTAGGATATATAGTTGTTATAAAGGCAGAAAGTAAAAATGTTAGTTCTTTTAAATTAGGATTGTTTTTTTTCATATATCCTGATTTAGTTTTGTCCCATTATGTTAGCACTTCTATGTATTCTGGTTGTTGTTTTCTAATACTAATTTTATTTTATTTTCCTTTACAGGCTAAGTTACTTAGCATCATGATAAGTTCACCTGAGGTAAGTTTAAAAATAATATGATTATGATTTTGGATTTAGTAATCCGGTCAGGTCAAATCACTTTTGTTCATAACAGTATGCTGTAATGCACAATACGTGAAGGATTTACACTGAAGATATTGACGGAAAGCTATTGAGTCCGTCAATGATGCATCGCGTATTACTCTTTGGTAACAAAGAACGATCGACTTTTAAAAGCACACACACCGAAACCCGTCCACAGGTGAAAAAGGGACTTCACAAGGATAATATTAAAACTTAACAGTACACTGCTAAACATAGGCCTCTCCTTAGAATGTAGGTTTTGGGCTACGATACCACGCTGGCCAGACGGGTTGGTATAGGGTTTGTGTCAAGTTTTCCTTCTCGTTGCAATGCTGTTGTCCGGCGTAGTTTGCTCCCTTAGACGGTTCTTACGGCACCCACGGGATGAATAGGGGTGGTGACACTCCGTATTGTTATTCCATTACCCCAGGGACCATAACTGAGGAAATATATGATTATACCCAATAGCCCTACACAGAGGTACTTATGATAATTTATAATATACTTTACGTCATCAAGTTTTTTTTCGTTTCGTTTCACATGTATCCATCGTCAAGGATATTGAACACAAAATCTTATTTGTTTTTCCATAAAGTTTAAACATATTAATATGTTTATATTCACGATGGCAGGTAGGTATACAAGAATTGAATCATGATGTTAATATATGAGTATTACACGAACCAATTTTCTTTTTCTTTTTTTTTTCGCGTGGAAACCACCGTACCGCTGATTGCGCAACAAAGCATTAACAAAAACCGCAAAACATCCTTCTTTTTTTATTTATCTATCTTTTTTGTTCGTCAGCATTATAATAGTCATTTAATATTTACTATGTAGTGTACTGGTTAGGAGTATTTTTACAATAGGTGTTTTGTATGGAAATAAACCTTAGATCAAATAGGAATAAGCATAAGAATAAATTTATTTCAAAAAGATATGTGCTACAATAAGTTTTACAGCGGCCACAGCACTAAGCTCGAGGCTTGTATCGCAGAGGCCAAAGATATATTTATTATGCAGCTTCACACTTCACTTTCGGCTCGTCAGGTACAATAGAGACTATATCATTATATTACGTAGAATATAGTAACTTATTTATTCTAAAACAAGATCAAAATTCTTACGGATTGTAATGTTTTTAAGGAATATAAATACATAACTTTTTTTTGGGTGTTTGTGAGTGTGTGCTATGTGAATAATTTAATGTATAGTGTAAAAAGTTTATGTGATTTGTGGGAATTGAAGAAAAGGGTGGGGGGATCAGCTGACAGTTTGAATTAGATTTTATGTGTCCCGATAGTTGAGGTTCACAAGCCAGTTCTCTATGATAGGTTTGATTTTTCTTGTTGGTAGGTTTATGATTTGTGGTAATTTTCTGCACACCTGGTTGTAAATGTGAGGAAGAAGAAAGATAGGCAAATGCTTAATAAAAGTTGTCTTCATGTTAGGAACTGGTATTCGAAAACACGGCGGCTAGTGAGACGGAGGTGTTCTGGAGAGTTAATGACCAACTTGTGTTTTGTCATGCTGGCTTTCAGAATAAATATCTATCGAAGTCTGAGTACTTTACATTCTCTATGCAGATCATCTGTAGGGAAGCGAAATGGTTTTTTGAGCAACACCTTCAGAACTGCGCGTTGGGCTCTTTCGAGTTCGATCATTTTAGACTTTACTATTCTTCCCTGAAACTAGAATAAAATAGTACAGTAGTGATTGAGTCAACGCTTTATACACCATTATAAGCGTGTCCTTGTCAGCACTGCGTTGTAGTGACTTCAGTGCCTTTTAAGGCACGCAGAGATCTCACTGTGTTAAGAATGGTCACCGATCCATAGACTGACCTGGCTAGGATTGCTTAACTTTATAATGTGTTAACCTACTCGGTTACCACTTAGCCACGAGCCCCTTGATTTGTTTTTTTGTTTGTTTTTCCTACATATGAATTAAATTTACCATCGTAATAAGCCACGCCGTATTAAACATGTACATAAGAGCAACGTGTCTTATTTTTACGTGTGGGAACCCTCTCGCGCCGTCACCGGGATTTTGCGGGGTTAGACATCCGGACCGCTTCTTTCTTTTTTTTTTTACGTGTGGAAACCACACGGTGTGCTACTCTGCGCCTGTAATAGGAGGGATCCGGGAACAGCTGTTATTAAGACATCCGGACCCCTCCTAGCGCCGGCCCGCTCCTGTTGCGGGCCCCGTCTCAAAATTTTCCTCTCTTTAGGCGACGTCCGGCACACGCGGACGCCGCCCCCTCGCGGCTGGCCAAACTAATGCGGGTGGAGGGGAAACCCACCCCGTCCACCCGCGGCCACACTCAGGGCGGCATGAGGCGGTGATAGGCGCGCCTTCGCCGCCCGGTTCGCCGACGGCGAATTGGGTCCGAGTGGAGGTTTTCCTCCCGGGCCCTTTCCGCCGCCTCCTTCCGCGAAGATGACGACTTCGCAGAAGGATGCGACCCCGGTAAAATATCTGTCACTACCGGCCATGGAGCTTATGATGGCCCGGTAGCAAGAGATCCCCTCCGATGACTGCAATGAGAAGTCGGCGCTGCGGCGCCCAAGCCGGACAAGTTGCCAGCGTGTGCTGAGCCGAGTCGTCACTGCAATCGCAGTGGTGACAGGCGGGACTCAATCCCCTCCTAGCGACCGAGTGCAGGTACTTCCCGAAGTAGCCGTGCCAGGAAAGGACCCGCGTGAGCCGGAAGGAAAGGTTCCCTGACCACTCGACGATGACCGGCTGGAGCGCCGCCACTGCGGCAAAGCCAGCACATGGAGCCCCCAGCCGGGACTACCAACAAGCCATCTTGGCTCGACAAGCGGCCTCACGCCACTCGCGTATCTCTTCGTGCTAGGGCCGACTGGCACTATCCGCCCGGCACTCAGCTGTCCGCCGATATGCTTCGGGGAGCACTTCCACCTCCGAATCCTACGGGGGAGTTCCGGCCAATGCGCACGCCGTCCCCGTCGAAACGGTGCAACGTATCTGTATCATCCTATATTTAAAAAATAAACTGTTCTGTTTTATTTTGGCCTACAAATATCTGATAGGTTTAAATTACATAATGTTTGCAATGGTTCCATCCAATCTATATATATATAAGAGATTTCCACGTATATAGTCACTCATCACGATATCTCTGGAACCATTAGAGCTAAAGACTTGAAATTTGGTAGGAATATTCTTTTCACCGAGTAGAAGTCAGCTAAGAACGGGTTTAAGAAATTAAAAAAAAAAATGTAAATAGCAAAACAACGTTTGCAGGGTCAGCTAGTCGTTAATATAAAGCTATCATTTTACATCACCTACCACTACGCTATTTTAACGGACATATCAAAGTTTTTGCCTTCATCTTAACAACTGAAGATCAAAAAACATCCTTGTTAAGAGGTTTACGTATAATCATATCTATTACAACGTGATTATACAATCATTATAAAGTACACTAATATAGTATCTACTGACATTATTCTGATGTAGCCAAGTGCAACCTTCAACTTAACTCACTACGGAAATAAAGAGGAAACAGACAACACGCGACTTAAGAATGTGGTATTGTTGATTAACTTGTAAATGTAAGCTTTCTCTTGAGGGCTTCTATGTTTTAGACTAACTTTTTCCATCCTATCCACCAATCCAGATGTAATTGTTTAAAACGTAGTAGCATGAGCTCTTCGGAAAATTTTATAAGTTTAAAATAAACATTGTATTTATTATTAAGGCGATCGGTAATATTTCAATGTTTGTTATGTTTTTTTTTAAATGTTTATTAGTACCTAGAACCACATTATAACATTTAGACGAACACGGACAGTATATCAAACGTCAAAATTAATATAAAACCTCTTTGGAAAAAAATCTTGTTTTTGGCGTAATTTGATGACTTGAATGATGATTACCCAAGAAGCTACGCTTTCGAAGCGAAGCTATTCGTTCTGATGAAGATAAAACGCCGTTCGTGCGAATTCTTTAATAATAGGTATAATTTGATACTGCAAGAGTCTTATAACCATATATTGTATTATTTCCTGTCCATTTATCGCCGGCGCTCAGGAACATAGAGTAAGACATCCGGTCTTACTCTGTGTAATAAATATCACTAGCTTGTAAATTTAACTAAATAATTATATTATTATTCTTCCAATAGAAAACCTACATTGTGAATTCTTTCGCAGCCTTGTCAGTGTCCCATACTCGAAGTGGGACCTCCAATGGTCTCCGCATGTCCAAACCAGTTCCTGCTCTTCATGACAATCTTGCAAGGGTATATCAACGGCCGATGCGACTTAGCCGATCCTTGTAATAGAGTAAAAAGCATAGAACAACCTGATGATAGTTACGACTTCGTAGTGATTGGAGGAGGTTCTGGTGGAGCTGTTGTCGCTGGAAGATTATCAGAGAATCCACAGTTTAAGGTATGTGAAACAATACTAATAATTTGTCTTTGTTATTCTATACAGCTAAGGTCATTTATACTTTGACCACCTTGGTAAGAGGTTATCGACCAAGCTAATACCATATTATGATTGATTCTATTAAATATTGTAATTCTGACAAAGACGTAGTTTTGATGGGCCTGTTGGTCTAGTGGTAAATAGCCCTGACTGTTAAGCTGGGTATAATTTATCTATGATATGTATGTATTTAGAAATATATAAGTTTGTTTATCAGCAGCGGTTGGAGATCGAAGGGCTTTGTGTGTGATGTCTGAAAAAAATACAACTACGGACTATCTTTTAGGCACCCATCTTTTAGAAAGGTGGGCAAATAAATCCGACTTGTCTTTGTACTTACCTATTGTGCTCAATTTTTTATCAATCGCCTCTAGCCAATCACCGAAAGGCCTCTGCAACAATGGGAAAACATTCACGCCGATTAAACGCTATAACCTAACAAATATTTTAGCGGACACCATGCATTGTTGTCCATAAAATGTAAGGTCAGCTACAGTTGTCTTAATGACATCTTAATTCACACGCTGTTTCTTTACACATGTACGAGATCCTTAGCCTTAGAGGTACACAGATCGATTTTTTTATGATATGAATACCAATCGATCAAACGGGTCACGTGAGGACCTAGTGTGCGTTTATTTCACATCAAGTCGCTCTCAATGGCAATCACGCGGGCCAATCGCAACGCTGAACGCTAGTGTGCGTTCAGCGTTGCGTTGCGGCCCTCTGACGGCAAGTAACTATTCTGATGGCAAGTAACTACCGCCGTCTATGGACAGTTGCAACTCAAGCGTCACAAGTGTGTCCCCAGAAGTATGAGGAGGGGGACTGTTTTAAGTAATGTGCTCATCTCGATTTTTTAAATTAATTCGGTTTATAAAGGTAGTTCATTTTAAATGTTTAACTTCTCATCTTTCAGGTTTTGTTAATAGAGGCTGGTGGCGATGAGCCTACAGCATCAGGAATTCCCGCATGGTTGGCCGCGTATTGGAATCGCAATGATACGGACTGGCAGTATACCACGGAGAAACAGGAGCGAGCTTGTTTGGACTCAGACGGGAAATGCTCATGGCCCAGGGCCAAAATGCTAGGTGTGTAAATGTCTGTTTCGATTGGTGATATCGTCCATACTTTTTATATAAATAACTAATAGCTGTACCTTCTGTCCATTTTGGTGACATTTATGAGAAATAATTAAGAAAACTGATGCGAAAAATAGAAACCATCTTTGAAGAGGGTTGTATTTCGTGTCAAAATTTCTGCTGAATCGGTGTAGAACTTTTTGAGTTTCCAAAACCAACTTAATATTTTATAAATATAGATGAGCGATGTATTGTGTCGTAAACGTAAATATTGAGTAATTGTGTTAGTTTGTATAAAACCAGGCTGTTATTTTTATTTACGATTATTGCGTCACAAAAGTGTATTCGTGTTTAAACTCGGTCAAGTCGGATACAGATTTCAAAGATATTCCCGCTTCACACGCGGCCGGGAAAGCTCACCTAATCATGCGCACCTTTTAGACAGAGATAAAAACTTTTGCAAACCAATTTTTATGGTAAAACTAGATTTTTAAAAATTATCTAAATTAAAACACCTAATCGCTAAAATGTTATCAATTATGAGTAATCAATGTGTTTGCCCGGTTAGAAAACCCCATTGTAATCTTAGAGTAGATAGGTACCTTGATGTGAGCATATTATTATTGGGATAGGCAGGGGATGCTGAAAACGAAGTATTACTTCGAGTTATAGTTAAATACACCTAAAAACAAGGCTTCCTGCCATACACTGAATAGGTTAAAGTAATAATCCTTAGGCAACACATTGATAAATATATTTCGTATTATTTCATATTGGAGGAGAAAACATAACGTATTTATAAACAGATAGTAAATCTTCTTTCTCTGCTAGACTCCATAGATTTCCAATGATAAAAAAGTTGTTGGTTACTAAAGTAGACAGCTAAATAAAACCATCATAATGAATGTTTGTCTTCTTATTCTAACTCACCTGATGACTCATTATGGTTCTTTTGTTAACTTTAACTTTGTTAACTTTACCTATATTTTTTTCGTCTAAGACTTGAAGACAATACCCACGTTTGAAAGTGTGTTTTCAGGTGGTTGTTCGGTTTTCAATGGAATGATGTACATGCGCGGTCAACCGGCCGATTACGACGGCTGGGCAGTTAATGGAGCAACAGGCTGGTCCTGGTACGATGTTCTACCCTACTTCCTAAAAAGCGAAGATAACAAGGAGATCGACAATGGTATCTCAGGGCAGTATCATAGTGCTGGGGGACCAATGCCTGTCCAGAAGGTAGGTAATATTGATAATAGTAAAGAAAGACATTTTGTTTTCGCTCACGCGTTACACATAATGTAATGTAATAATTTAATGAGTCTTGTATCAGTGCTGTGTAGCCATTAGCTCAACGTAATCCTATTACGAGGAAGTAGCGCGGTATTCTGCTAACACCTAGTGATTTTTACAGACAGTGAGCTGTCATGCTTATACACTGAAAGAGAAAATAATAACAGATTATTGTAATATTTTTATGTATGTAATGCACATAACAAATAATAACATAGTAAACATACAAATAAAATTATACACATTAATAATATGTCTGTAGGAGTTTGTTGAAGCTTGAAAGTTCAATTTATGTAGCGTAGCAGATGTTCTTGTTTTCTTAACTTCCTGATCAGCCTGTCCCTTTTTATACGGGACCTAATTTACGCTACGAAAAAAATGTATTTGTCATTAAATTTATGCGCAGTCTGAATCTGAGTTAGATTTTAATAAAGAAACTGTAACACTATAGTGTTGTCATTATTAATACTGACAGTTCCGGTACGCGCCCCAGTTAGCTCACGATGTGGTGTCAGGTGCTATTGAGCTCGGGTATCCCCCCACGAGCGATTTGAATGGAGAAACAATCACAGGGTTCACCATTGCACAAGCTTTCAATGAGTAAGTTGATTAAAATATTTCAAACCATTTATTCATTCACGATAAAACTGACTCACTTCTTTGAATATCCGTACTTCTCTCCTTTTTTCAACCTCTATCATTTCTTAGCACTTCTCTGCTTAGTATTTCTATTCTTTCCATTAAATTCCAAAATATTTTTAACAATATATTGATTTATCTAAAGAATGCCTTCCTCTGCGCACATTTTGTGAAATTCAATACCGAATATGTGTACTTATTTTATACCTAAGCGGTTTTTAACACAACTTATTTAATATTCTTTTAAGGTTGTGTTTTGTGTCGGATGAAACCATTTTGATAATCCAGTCAACGTGTATGCAAAATTTCAATCAAATGTTCGGCTGAGTAGTTGACGTGAATGCGAAATGCAATTAACTCAGTTTCGGAAGTCAAATATTAGCGAGGGCCACTTATGTTCAGATAGTTTTTACATATTTACCAGTCAAGGCCGATAATTAATATAATAATAATAGCTTCACACATCTCATACACGGCAGCCTGATTCCAAACTAGGCAGAGCCTGTATTAAGGTGACCAGACCGCTGATAAACATACTTAGATATTTCTAAATACATATATTTTATAGATGAATTACACACAGACACAAAGTCTGCTCGTTGGCCCTCTGGGACATAAAAAAACCCTTGATCGTGATTGTCACACAATTGTTGGTCCTAGGGAGGAATCGAACCGATTTCCGGCTTAGCAGTCAGGGTCACCACGAGACCAACAGGTTATTTCTGTGTCATTTCTATTACCTACAACCGTTAGCCACATTGCTTTATTAAGTGTAAATATTTAAGACTTATCAATAAACAGGGTTCATTACTAATCTATCCTGTCCTCAGCGGTGGTTCTCGATACAGCTCAGCCCGTGGCTTTTTACGGCCCGCTTCGCATCGAGCTAACTTGCACGTGTTATTGAATGCCCTCGGCTCTCGGGTTATCATTAATCCTGCTACCAAAACAGTAACCGCAGTAGAATATATCAAAGACGGAGTCACGAAAACTGTCAAGGTCAACAAAGAGGTAATTTATAATTAAATTCTTCCAATCATTTTTTGATGGTAAGGGACTACCGCCTCCCATTGATACATACAAATCAGAAAACACAAGTGCGATGCCACTCGATAAGTGTTATCGGGAAGGGATCGGGAAAAAACTGTTATCAAGACATCCGGACCTCTCTTAGCGCCTGCCCGCAAATAAACGTCCAGACACACGCGGACGCGGCGCTTTTTTGCCAGATGACATCTTGGAATTAAAGGGTCTTACTACTCTAATCTTAACGACGTCATTAATTTTCCTTTCTAGGCCATCATTTCTGCAGGAACATTGAATTCGCCACAAATCCTATTACTTTCTGGTGTTGGGCCTAGGGAGACCCTTGACAAGTTCAATATTCCCACCATAATGGACCTGCCTGGAGTGGGACAGAACTTGCAGAATCATGTCGGTGTTACCTTAGATTTCACGCTTACGAAGGAACCCAAGGTTTCAGATCTTAATTGGGATGTCGCTACCCAATATTTGTTGGAAAGGAAAGGACTTTTATCGAGTACTGGAATGTCGCAGGTAAGAAAAAAATTAAAACGTAGGTAACTAGTATTAAAATAAGTAAGGGCATACAAGGTTGATGAGCCAGTTTATGAATTAAATGGGCAAATTGGGAGATCGACATGAAAGGAAAAGTTAGTAGGAAAGTGATATTTTTTATAAGGATGGATTGGGGTCTGGGAAAGCCGATTTGTTCATATATTTTATTCTAACCGAACAAAATAAGTGTATAGATCATCTGTCTGCAACACTAAGACTCTCGTAATACACCGAAACACAATGAGAATGTTCAATGTACTCGGCAAACCATATAAAGTACGTCTTAAAAATATACTATTTACATGAAGTTTAATCAATTTTTTTCAATACCTGAAGGTATCTTATAATTCCATTCAACGATTTTGTCGGTCCAAACGGTAAAAACCTTCGGAATAAGAAACATGCAAAAACTGTGAGCCATATTACTGTGATTACATATAATACTTTACCTTTGTGCAACTTACCTTAAAGTACTTCTATATCACACCGTTGACTGGTAGTAAACGCCATAGACATTAAGTCCGCCTTTGTACAAGATTGCATAGTTATATATTATAAATTATTATCATTAACCGTCTTTAGCAACCTTAAAAGTGTTGCGTCCCCCACTATCCAACCTAGAGGAAAACCTAGTTCTTTTCTCACAGAAAAATTAGAGCACAGCAGACAAAAAAGTTATTCAGTAAAGTTGTCAGTTCTTTTGTTTTAATATACATAATATTATTTTGTCTCTTTATTATTCTCAGTTAACCGGCAAAATAAATTCTCGTCTCGCGTCAGCCGGCGGCAGACATCCAGACGTACAATACTTTTTCGGCGGTTACTCTGCACTGTGCGGCAACGAAGTCGTCGTGGACCCTAAACAACTTGGTGACGACGTTGAAAAAAGAACGGTTACGTAAGTTTACGAAAAAGTATACACAAAAAAATATATAATTTGGTATTTATCTGTTTTACCTCTGTAGCGCCTTCCACATACGGCGAAACAAATAAACATACCATAGCGCCATCTAACGAAGACACATCGAATTACGGAGTAACTGCTAATCCTGTATCGCGATATGAGTAATTCGCAGGCTGATTAGCATACATACAACTTCCTAACATCAACTGTAGGGCCGCGGCTCGCCAAGTATGATCACCTCGCCTGGTCAGAGGATCCTATCTTTGTGTTGGAGGGACATGACACCTGTTCCTCGACAACCTTATACCGTTTTAGTCCGACGACGTATAACATCTTATGTTATATCAACCTACGTATAACCAAAAGTATACCTACTTTACCTAAACACTCGACACTTATGTATATTTTACTTAAATCAGGATCTCAGTCATAGCTGTACAGCCTCGCAGCAGAGGCTACGTGACGATTAGATCTGTGGACCCAACGCAACCGCCTATCTTCGAACCTAACTACTTCTACGACGAACATGAACTTAATGTAGTTGTAGATGGTTCCAGAATTGCTTACAGACTTGCCAATACAACGGTAAGTCTACATCTTTAATACTGCACAGATGACCTATACCGAACTTGACCCGAAATCCTGACCCGGTCGCGGGTTCGGTTAGGAAATTGTTTTTTTTTTTTCATTTTGAACGTATCCCTCTTCGTAACCTGACCCGATGTATCGTTCCTATTTTAACCTGACTTGCCACAAATTTCTCTGGCTTAAAGAAAATGAAACGGAAGAGGTTAGTAGATATTGCGACCAACAAAGACCAGAAACGAACTGCCCATTGTGGTTCTGCGATCTGAACATTCTGCGACCACTGGCAATTTACGAATTTGACATTGTGGCGACTCCCACATACAAAGAAACAGAAACATACTACAGCGCCATACCGAACTACGAAGTAACTCCTGAATAAGAATAGCCAAATCTGTATCGCGATATGAAGAATTTTCTCGCCGATTACATATAGGTACACTACTCGACCAACCCCGCCCGCACCTCGCTGCAGGTACCGCGATCTTCTTAGTACCGTCCGCAAGGTTTCTATCGCTATCACGTGTTTGATTTTTTTTCTTAGCTTTCATTCGTATGTTGTTAAGTTTGTTTTAATTCGTTAATTTTTTTTTCTTATTAAAACTGTTAGTATTTTGTTGTGTGGAAAATGGGGAAAAATAAAACAATAGTTACATAGTGGACAGTGAGAAAAATTTTAAGAGTCCTGAATTTCAGCAGTTCGCACCCTGTCCAATGACGTATTTATATATCATTATATTTCATTCACATTTTTGTATACAACACTACGCTCTGATAATGATGATTGACACTGCGCCATCTAATCCCTAACTAAGCTGACCTTGTACTATGGTTACTAGACAACGGATAAACATACTTATATACTTTTGATTTATAGAAATATACTTTATTATAATACATAGAAGCAACCAGACCCGTAGTAATAAAATATCTGTAGATAACGCAAATAAAAATTGTTACCAAAATATTTTCTCGTGTAACATTCTAATTCTTTATACCAAATGCTTATAAAGATTAGCGCTCACTTGGAACATTAGTTGAAATAATAATAAACAAAGCGTAATACTTAATACGCGCGCTTAATACTTTAGGTAATTTTATATAGGAAAAAATAACACCTATCGATCATTCGGATTCTTCTGCTATCCGTACCCGAAGTCAATGACGTCACGTTTGACAGTCGTCTAGTAAAACTTCCCAACATCAACCGTTGGGCCGCGGCCCGCCAGGTATGATCACCTCGCCGGGTCGGAGGATCCTTCCTTTCCTCCACAGACATTCTGCACCTAAACGGGTCAGGTTAGAAAGAAGGCGAACGGGTTATGTACATACATAACCCGTTCGAATTTTTTTTTTTTAAAGTGTCTTTTAAAGGGATAAGTATTTCAGGTCAGATTCGGCGTAATGAAATCAAATTGGTTAAAGCAGTAAATCTTCGTAATACAGAAATACAGACATGTCTCTCTTAAATATACTTATTATAAGTGTTGTGAAAGTTTTTTTTATGTAGAATGAAATTGAAAAAAAAAGGATATTTCCTAACGATCAACCTTTTTTAAGAGTTCAATGTCAATCTAAAAATCAATGTCTCAATAAAAATCTTATTCACCTTTTAAGATTCTCCGTGAAAAATACGGTATGATGCCAACTGAAGGATACGGCAAGGAATGCGGGGAAGGTGGCTTGGATCCTAGTGATGAGTTTTTCAAATGCTTGATAAAACTACATACCTCGCCAGAGAACCATCAAGTTGGTACATGTAAAATGGGACCGGAGAGTGATCCTATGGCGGTTGTAGATATGGAGCTGAAGGTGCACGGAATTGAAGGTTAGTGAATGAATATGTCATGGCCGAATATTAAGCTTGATCACTTCATGATGTTACTCATGGTCACGTCTTATCTATGGTCTGATTAGAATTAGGACCAATCGGCGTTTCACACTATTAATGTACCACTGCTAGATTCTATAATAAAACTAGTGATCTCATTTATTTATTAAATACTTTATCGACAATGCTTTTAGCATTATGTACGCCTCTGTCATAGGTGCTGATATCGTTTTGTTTTTGGATGCATCGTAACCGCGGACTATCATTATAATTCTGGTTTAAAAGCGAATGTAGCATCAATAAAAATATTGCGACAACTTAATATATACGTTCCTTCTTTACATGCTATTTCTATACGATTAACAATCCAATGACAATGTGGGTGTGACTAGAGAGTTAAGCCACGTAGATATTAACAGGGTTGAGACGATTATGTAAAGTGTCCTAGCATGTGGATAATGGAGATAAAAAAAACGCTTTGTAATGACACTGTAGATCAACGCTTTTTATACAAACAGTAATATTTTCTTTGTTTTTCAGGACTTCGCGTTATCGACGGATCAATCATGCCCACTGTAGTTTCAGGTAATTACAATAGTCGTGACTACCACCATTAATGCTTGAGATATGCTATCAGAAGTAACGGCCACTCACATAATTCTGGAATACGAGGGAGTGACTACACAACTGTCTAATACAAAAACTCTCCTAGGAGCCTGTGAACGCCCCAGGAGGCTTTTCTGCTTCTGAAAGGTCTGGGTTGGCTCGTTGGGTTGGCCGTTTTTGAGTGAGAAATGCCGAAACTGAGAGACCCTACCAATAGTCGTAACTCCTGTTACTATTAAGTATACATTTTCATACCTGGTTCTTAAAGCATGTTCTTTTTTTAGGTAACACAGGAGCTCCCATAATAATGATAGCAGAACGTGGTGCAGAGTTCATAACGACAAGACATCAACTGTCCAAAAAGGATACAGATAGTTTGGACACCGGAAATAGATTCGGGGAGGACTCTGAAGCTTCTGAGGAAACAGAAGGAAATTATGCTAGTAATGAAAATAATCAAGCGTGAGTATTTGTGGATTTGTGATTCAGAGATTAATTATCTTTATTGTAGTAATAATCACAGTTTATATCTCAACAAAAATAATATCTAACAAGCGCGGTTGAGCTTAGCTGCTCAAAACTCAAGAAATATGAATATCACAAACAAGGTAGGTACATCAATAATGCGGTGAATTACATTTTATTCTAAATGGCCTGCGTAACCGGCAATTATAGCTGGGACCTACAAACCACTGGTCCTATCTGACGTCGAGAATACTCGAATTTACAGTATCCAACTCATTTAGCAAAAATTATTTTAAAGAAGCGAATGTTAAAATTATTATGAATTAAATTGACCAGTGTTTTTATCTTTTATTCAGCAAGTAACACTGTAATTTTTAAGTAGACACTATTCCAACTAAATTTACATTTAACTACGGCCTACAAAATTAGGGAGTTTCATACAAATATCCGTACTTATAAATGTGAAAGTGTAGCCCTCCAACATAGCTAAGACTCAGTTTGGTCATGTTCTACTCGATATTAATAATGTTTCACAGGTGGAATTACCACGGCAACGACGGTTACAACTACCCACGGCCCATACCCAACCAACCAGAGCATCAAACGAACAAAAACCACCGATGGGAACACAGATGGAAGCCGTGGGACAAGAACTGGCAAAACCCGTGGCTAAAATCTAATCAATAAAACTATGAACAAAATGAGTGTAATACGCGGTAGTTTAATTTTAAGGAGCTCCCTGTACAAGGGGTTAGTTTCCTGTGCTCACAAAATGTGTTGGTTAGGAGAAAAGATTTGTTGAAATAAAATTGTCCGTTTTAACTTTTTTATTTAATTGGTGGTGTATTGGCGGATTAAGAATAAGGAGTGTCAACACCCCTACTTATCCCGTAGGTGTCCTAAGAGCAAAGGGAGGTTCTAAGGGAGCAAACTACGCAGGACAACAGCGTTGCAAAGAGAATGAAACCTTGACACAAACTCTGTACTAACCCGTCTGGCCAGCGTGGCATAGTAGGCCAAAACCTCCTTTCTAAGGAGAGGCCTAGGTCCAGCAGTGGACTATTGACTGTTAATGTATCTATCTATATAAGTGGTAGTTTCTTCTTCTTCTTAATCCGTGCTAACTTGTCTAATTAAAAACTGATCGCCAACACTTTCATACTGCAATCGTTCATAAAATATTTTCATTTTAATTGCTTCAAAATAAAAAGAATATCATTAAACCTTGACTAGATTTTTATTACCGTTGTTTCTTTGTGCCATTTTACATAATTGGTTTCAATGCAAAACTAATTATATACTAACTTTAAAATTTCCAACATACCTAAACTCACGACTATATTCCTGAAGGCGTTTTAGATGCCCACATTTTGTCACTATAAATTTAGTCCCACTTCGTAATAAGCAAGTATATTGCTTATATTTTCATTTTTCTCCTTAAATCTAACATACATTGTAGATTCAAACTACTACTATACATTATTCTAACCATATTTTATTAAAAGCAGGTTGTAAAATCGACAAATAGTAATGATAATCGAATTAAAACTTAATGCATAATATATTTTAGAATGATCTATTTCTTAGCTTTCCATGGATTCGCCGAGCGGGTGCCGGGTCCATCGCGTGATAGATGTGAGCAGTACATGCGACTTCGACAGCGCCTGGGATAGTATATACTTCTATATACTATCGAAGGTTGTGTGAATGTGGTAGAATATTATTATATTAGTCTTTAGTGACCGACATATTTTTTTGTATGAATTTAACTGATTTCTTTGTGTACAAATATTTAATTTGCTCATCAACCTTTGAGAAAAATGCCGATTTTAAACAAACCGTTCAGAAATGTGTAAAAAGCCGTGTCTTAATAATATTCCTTGAACACATATCTGGAGTACGTAAAATAAAACAATGAGTTACAATATACGATAACCTTTATTTATACTATTTTAAGGCTTACACATTCATCCTATTTCTTCTTAGTATTTCGTTTGCCTTTTATTGGTATTTCGGGTTCAGAATCTGACCTAGAAATGAACTAAGATTAAGGGATACAGTGACGGGACTCCAATTATAGTATTGTTTTTAGATTTATGCTATGCATGCAGTTCATTTATAAATAGACAGTTCACTTGGTGATCCCCAAAAAACAGTTAATTTTATACTTTTTCATTAAATTATCACTAATTATTAAACAGTTATTCGGTTGGTGACAGGATTAAGAATAGGGCGTGTCAACACGTCTATTAATCCCGTGGGTGTCGTAAGAACCGACTAAGGGAGGAAAACTTGCAACAAACCCTTTATCAACCCGTCTGGGCAGCGTGTTGTAGACCAAAACTTCCTTTCTAAGGAGAGGATGTCCAGCAGTGGACTATTTAACGCTGTTCATGACAGATGATAAACCAGTTTAAAAATAACTTACTCTTCGCTACCATCAGGTGTTTCAGGAATGGTGACATTCGCTTTAGATCCACGCCTACTGTCGATTAGTTCGCTCGAGTCGTTCAACACTTCTTGAACCTAAAATGTATTTAATTTTTCAAGATTTATTTACAATAATAGTTGTCATTATCTATAGGCTATCCTATACATACATACAGCAGTATACCTACAATATCTATCAACCTAATAAAGTAATCCTTAATTATGAACATTATTTTATTTATTTGTTTGTTTGAACAGAGTGAAGTTCTAGGAAGGGTAAAGTTCTAGGTATTTTTAAATCCAATGAATTGGTACAGAAAGAAATATCAAAATTAATTATGAAGAATTATTACCTAAATATAAAAAAAAGTGTCATGAAATTTGGAAAGAGTATTATAATCAGAATTCGAGAGAAAAGGGAATTTGGTATAAGACTATAGTATCGGAGCCTCCTCATATACCATGGTTTTCCAACACAGGACTCAATAGAAAAATTACTGTAATCGCCCGCAGGTTGAGATCTGGACACATTCCGCTCAATGGGTTTGGATTCTTGATGAAAAAACTGAATTCACCAAACTGTGAGGTTTGTGGTACTTTAGAGGATGTGACACACTTATTGACGGAGTGTGTCAGATTTCAATCTGAAAGGGAATATCTGATGAAAGAGTTAAAAATAAATAGTAATAATGTTGGTATGTTCCTTGTATGTAGCCTTTGTAGGTTCGTATCACTAAGTAAGGAAAACGTAACCAACAAATAAAAATCTCACTTGCGTATTTATAATAATAATAATATAGTAATGCTTATAATTTACTCACAAATTCTTTCTCATAGACTATTGTGTGTAGCAAGGTATCATCCGAGTCATCAAACTGTGACCGCGAACTACCGGCGCTGCTGCGGCCAGACCCCGTCGACGACCTCGTCAAACGCCTAACTGGTTTGCTCACTTTAAAAAAATATAATGTAAACTTCTGTAATGCAAAAGTTTGATTACAAATACTTGAGAATATGTTAAAGTTCAACATTTGCATCAACAACATTGGAACAGTTTTTTTATTACGACCTCTTGCGAGTTCTCAACTACCACAAACATACAATTTTTTACTATAATGAGTGTTTAAAAAATTAACCTGTCATTTCAATTAATAAAACAAAATAATATATAAAAGACAGCATAACACCGGAATAGAGATAATTTGAAGGGAATATAATTATTAAACACTCGCCCTAGGGACGTCTCTGTCCTTCTTTATTTTTTGAGACCATACAACACATACAAAAGAGAAGGAAAACCTGAAACAAACCCTATACCACAACCCATCAGGCCATCAGCATGGTATAGTAGGCCGAAAATTTATTTCTAAGGCGAGGCCTATGTCCAGCATTGGACTATTAAATGCTGTTGATGATACAATAGTTAATCTACCTCTAAGTCTTCGCTTTGCCTACTTGATTGGCAAGTTAGATCAGGTTTTTATTACTCACCCTCTTTTTCTTTCACTTGCTTTTCCGTCTTCTTCCTTCCTTTAGCATTAACTTTCGGGGAGCCACTAGATTCTGTACTAGAACCGGATTGTAAGCTTCTTGTAGATTTTCTTATAGTAATGTTAGAAACATCTAAGTCTGATGGTGGTGATTCTTTTGAGGATGGTGGTGGTTTCTTTTTAGCTTTAGGATCTTTTTTTGGTTTTTCTGGTTTGGTTTGTGGTTTAACTTTAGCATCTAGCTTGGCGTTTTCAGCTGCCTTTGCTTCAGCTTTGGCCTTTTGAGCTGAAAATAATCATATATCAATATATAAAATAATATTTAAGTACTGTATATAAAAAGCTGCTAAAAAGATATTTGATTATTAGAAGAAGTTTGTTTATACATTCTGCAATTTATGTTACAATTATTTTTTTGGTTTTTAAATACAATAATATCAAACCTAATATATTTCTAGCTAAATTTTTATTTTATAGTTTTTATTTAAGCCAAAACATGATATATGCTGTTTAAAAATACTAGATTAGAATGAATATGATATTAGCAGTTCAATTGAATAGCGAAACGAACTGACAGGTTATCTACTTTTTTACATAAGTTTTTTACGATCAATTTTAATAATACATTTTAAAGTATATTATTTACAGCTTTGAAGTAAAAGTGATTTTAGGTTTTTCCCTAATCACTTAGTTACATTGTTACATACTTGTGTAATTATTGTCAAAAGTTAATGATACAGCTTTTCGTTTATTTACTCTCCTATATCAAATATCTAAAAAAAAATCGACTTGTTACTATGAAAAGTACGCAATAAGCAATTTTTTAGTTTTTAGCTTGCACATAATAATTTCTTCTCTTAGATTTATGCCTTAATTTTGTTTTTTATTTTGTTATTTTGTTTCATTTTTGATTTAATTTAATACCTACACTTGATCTGTTGTCACAAACAGCGATTAACGTGTTTCTAGTATTATAATTGTGTACCTATATAAACGTTGATTAGTTATATTGTAAAGCGTGCTTTAAGCCGCTATAAATTTAAATTAATTATGTATTGAACCAAAACGTGGGGATCAGTAATTGGCTTGCTGTTGCAAACCTCTGCACTAAGCAAATTTGTCAAAGCTGTTGGTCCTCCAAGTTATAAATAAATAAAGGCAGATGCCGAGACGAAGGCTTGTTAATGCTTCTTTCAGTTTAAGCTCACGCTTTTAGTGCTCAATCAATTAATGCATATGACATATTAACTTTCCCTACTACTACTTTTCGTACTTAGCTGTCTTACACTATGTACTAAGCTTAGTATTGTTAACTACAAACTACATTAGGGAAGATACTCAAACTATGTGCCCATTTTTACAATTATTACCCCCTCCTCTCTTTCGGTGATCATCCGTAGTACATGCCAAGATACACCCCCTCCCCTCTTGTTTTCACGTAGTAATTCATAAATATCGTTTTAAATATTGTATTTGGCTCATTATTGTCTCTTTTAATAATGCATTTCCCAAATATGATATTGACTACGACGAAAATCTAAGCCCTCCGCCTACCCCTGTGACCAAGCGTGGGTCACATAGTATGGGTATGTTCCCTTTTATTACAACTTACCTCTATCCACATCCACCAGTGAGCGTTGTGATCTACTTCTTTTTACCCCACCTTTTTCAATTTCTTCTTTGGGATTTTCTTTCCCTTTACCAGTCTTCTCTTTAGCCTTAGTCGAATCAGAACCACTGCCTTGCTTATTCATTGATAATTTTTTCTTTGCTGAATTTTTTTAAATTAAATGATTAGGTATGTCAACGTAAATTAAGAATGATTTAAATAGATAACAATCTTAGGCAAATGGAATGTCAACTGTGTTAAAGTCAGAATCTTGTATAATGATTATTATGACCTATCACTAGGTCATCAGGGTCATTTCATTCCTGCTGTTCTAGTACCGCGTTTTTTTTAATTGATCATCTTTGAAAGTGACCTTTGATAGTGCTATAGCAAGGTCTGTCAACCTATAAGGTGGTCTATGGTTAAAAGAAAGTAGCATTCCTCGTGAACTAAGGTATTCAGTTATAGGGGCAGTAACCATTAACGCAAAAGAAACTGCAAGGAATGTCTATTCGATCAATACAGAGAAATCAGGACAATATGATAGTCAATTCAGTGATTGGCCTGTTGATCTGGTGGTCGATGATCCTGACTGATAATTTTTTGTTCTGTGTCTGGGTATTAATTATTTATAATATGTTCGTATTTAGAAATATTTTAAGTGTGTTTAATAGCAGTCTGGTGACCATGCACTGCCTAGTTTAGGATAGATGGACGTGTGAGATGTGTCAAGTTATTATTATTACTTATAAATGAAGATATATTTATTTCAGTCAAAATTTTTTTTTAGATATTTTTACAAGACGGCCTTTAAAGCTAGATGGAGCCGGCATTTCTCAAGACTCACTCTAGGAAGAAACGCCGAAACAAACCACAGAGAATAAACTTTTTTTTATTCTGTTAACGAAATTAAATAAAACTGCGAGTACAGTATAGGATCTGGGTAGGCCTTTTGAAGAAAGGACCAGAGTTTTGAGTCCGCCTAATACTTACCATATCGCTAGGCAGGTATTACTAGCATTAAAATTATACAAAGAAAAATATTCTGGAACATACCTTTAGTGATTTTAGCTCTTTTAACAGGTGAAACGCCACTACTAGAATCGGATTGCATATCAATTGGAACTTCGTTCGTTACGACTTCGGTCTGTGAGGACTCTCTGACAGCACGACTGCTTTCTGCTTGTGGTTGACCTGAAAACATTTCTATGACTGATGATTGTCTTCTGTAGCAAAAAAAGAATGGAGTTATGTCATGTATCTGTGTGTTACAGCTATACAGCTCTGGAATTCCTTTTTTTTTCTTTGAAAAGTGACTAAATCAAGAATGTACTTAGTAATAATTTTGTTTTTGAAGTGAAAACTTCTTTAGACGCGTTGGGTATTTTTGAACAACAAACAAAAGAATGTATTTTATGGGAAAAACTATTGAACTCGCGACACGGTTGCCGTTACCGACACCTGTGGTGAAGTGAAAACTTCTTTGGGCGCGTTGGGAATTTTTTGAGTTGGGAAAAAACAATTGAACTCGCGATACTGTTACAGCTACCAACACCTCAGTATATAAGTTTTCACTTCCGTCGGCACTCCCGGAGTGCGATTTGTTTTTTTCCTAAATTAAGTAATAAGTCGAGGCTTTCTATATTAATGGTGAGATTGTGATTTTATTTGATTAATATAAAAAAATATATCACCGGAGGGGAAGGTGGTGAGTCAAACGAGCTGACGGATCACTTGATGGTAAGTGATTACCGCCGCTCATGGATACCTACAGCTTAAGTGACATAAGTGCGTAGCTGACCTTGACTGACCTTTGAGACCAATTTCCCTAATATTGCTAGCTTGAAGTTTCTGTTTTTATTAATACTAGCTGGGTACTATACTAATAAGTGGGTTCGATTCCCGGACAGAACAAATTTTTTTTGGGTTTTTCTGAGAGAAAAATAGCCTAAGTTACTCTTTTATAGACAACTACCTGGTAGTAAAATATTTTCAAGATCAGTCCAGCTGTTTTGAAGATTACCCGGAACAAACAGGCAGCCAGACAAAAAAATATTTAAACTGGTTTTTAGGCATAGGTATCGTGTGCAAATAATGGTGTGAGCATGAGAAAAACCTATTAATTTGACATTACAAACAGATACTTCAATTTTATGTATTTGTGTAGATAAATATATAAACGAATTAAAAGTAAGTCAGAAGTTTTAACAACGCTACTCAATATTTACAGTAAATATTCTTAAATCACAAATAAGAACAAACGCACGTGTTCCAAACACAAAATCAATACATAATTATATAATTCATAAATGTTAAACAGTACCTTCAGAAATCCTGGACAATATAGGGTCATCCGTTGGCGAGGTTTCGTCTATCTCTACCTCCTCTTCGACGGTTTCGTTAACAACTACGTGAGTGCTGCGACCGATCGGTTGTGCTGAAATATGTAATATTGTATTCATGTATGGTCTAAGGTTCATTAGCAACGATTACTATGTTGTAAAGTCACGACCAAGATGTAGGCATAAACACACATGTAGGCCCTGTCCGAAAACCTAGTTGTTTATCGAAAACATTCGTGTTCGTTTACTTTTAACATACTGATTAGCCGAGCGGGGCGAGCACAAACAATCGTTGCTCACCGAATAACAAGCACCCATTCCCACTACTTGCTATTCAGCGAATAATCAGCTCAGCACTCGGCGAGTCTCACATGTCTGGACGCGGCTAAAGGCTAAGGCGGTAATTAGAGACGCGATATCTCGACAGTTTAATTTTAAAATAAAAATTAAAAATACATTTTATTTTTTTATTAAACTTACGCAAAGAGGTTGTCATCCTTCCCAAAGGCGCTAAAGAATCTTCTTGCATGGTACCTTCGGTAACACCTGCAAATCAAATCGCAATGGTAACAACCAGAACATGCTTTAAATCGCGAAATTGACTTACTGATAACTTAATTTTTATAGACACTCAATTTTTTTATTAACATCTCACCTCTCACTCAGCATTCTGATCCCAAACTAGTCAGAGCCTGTACTATGATACTAGATACATTTCTTAATACATACATATTTTAGATAAAGTACACCCAGACTCAGACCAAACGATCGTGCTCATCACACAAATATTTGTCCTGGGTGGGAATCGAACCCACGACCTCCGGTTTCGCAGTCAGGGTCACTAACCACTAGACCAACAGGTCCGTCAAATATCGCAGATGTATTGATGTATCTCATTAATAATGTAAACGCAGTAAGTTTGGGAAGGTGAATATTTTGTGGATCATCATGGTAGAACGGATGTGGATAATTGGCAAAGTAAGGAATAGTTTATTGAAGAAAAACTTTATTAATAATTACCGTGCGTACTAAAACTTATGAACACTTATTCATTATTATATCTATTATAAATGAAAAGTTACAATCATAGTGGCATCTTAAGTAATTAATATACAATGAAAATAAGTTGCAGTTACAAATTACCTGTATGCGACAATTTATTAAGACTGGCTCGTTCCGCTGCCTCTAAAGCGCCCAGATACCTGGTCAAATTCCGACATGACTGTTTATCCGGTAATTTCTGTAAGGGGCAACAAAACACACAGTTCAATAGAATCACAACGAGAATAATGGTTATCTGATATGATAATTGAATTAACAACACGAGGACTCATACACATACAGTCCAGGTGTGACCACGGCCAGGCCGGGGTGGCGGCGAGCGCGTTGCGAAGCGCGCTCGCTTTCAGGGAGCAGAGGAAACATGGGGTTCCTACACGGGGGGGGGGGGGTCGTCTACTCGTCTGTAGATCGGCCGAGGTATGTCGGGGCACCAGGGACTTCCTTTCTAGGGTATACCTGGTTCCCCGGCTATTAGTACCCGAGACGGCGCGGCGTGCGGTTTTAGTCGGTTCGTGACCGACATGCCACCGATAGGTGGTATCCGAGGGGATTTCCGCACGAAAAAAAAAAAACAAAAAAAGGTGTGACCACGGCCAGTGCAACCTGGTCTAAATGATAGGCTATTCAAAGGTATTGCATACTTATTACGTGTGATCGCGTTGACCTTACGAACACATATGGTCACATAACTTTAACAAAGATTTTTTAGCAGCGTAACGTGTTATTTACTTTATGTATCGTTAATTACTTTTTGTATCCGAGCGTGATTGAATTCGAAATAACCAAAATTTATGTTTTTCTTACTATCATTAAAATTAATAGGTATACGATTCTATTACTTAAAATAAAAATAACTATGCGCTTATGCAATTTTTATCTCATTATATCTCTCTTTCACCGTCTGAGCCCTTTTCCCAAATTGGGTTTCGGTCGGCTTTAAGTGTACTACGGTACGGCTGAACTTCGATTCCTTACGCGGAACGACTGCCATCAGATCTCCACGATCGAAGTTTTGTAGAAAGACTGTTGGAACTTCTTAGGGCTCTTACTACCCGTAACAATGGCTACAGATGTTCGTATGGTAATATCTAATTATACCAATAGTTGTCTTATTACCGTTTTAAATTTCGAATTTATTTAACTTGTAATTTTTTGTTAAACATTTCTTTCTTTACTCACCAAGCAAAGATCTCTCAGCATGTGCGCCAGTTCTGAAGCGAGGTGTGAATCTCTCGGTGGAGACAGCAAAGCTAACACTCGACAAGCCAATCCAGCTTCGGGAGACGTCGGGCGGCGGACTATGTATTGGCAGAGTACAGTTGCCATGCCACCTTGGCTATCAGCTAGCTGAAATATTTAAAGCTATTAAGTAACCATCCAGTTAAGGAAATTTGATCTGACAGAAGGTATGATTCAGAAAAAATAATACCTATGTATAAACAAACCAAACACGATTAAAATGATAAGGCCCTCTAATTAAAGTAGGATGTGTGGTTAGGAGTAAAAAAAAAGTGTCTGTCAAGAATTTACTCGTTAAGAACGATTCAGCTGCACGCATGTATACAAGTCATGTAATAGGCGATAGGTTGCGCACAAAAAAAATTAAAAAGGTCATTCGATCACTAAATTTTACTCTTATATTTTATTCATACCGATTCTTAAGGAGTAAACTCTAAAACAAGTTTTTAATATATTTTACACTTCAATGGATTTAAAGACATCGTGTTTATTTTATATTGTATGTTTTTGTATGTACTTTTTAGATTTAAATTTCATTTTATGAATCTTACGAATTTTTGAAGTTAATCTAGACCTCAATTTAACATGTTACATAGTTTCGTTTGACATAGGTATTGTAGTACAAGCATACAAAATGCTAAATTTTTCATTCCAATTTTAGTATCTTAACAATAAGCCTCATACTTTCGACACTTTCTTCAGCCATCACTTGTCTACTCTAATACTATTATAATTTAAAACTTTGAGGAGACAAACAATAAAACTTACTTCATGGTTTACCCTGGTGAGTGATACAATAAATTTGACGACAGCTTCCTGATCTATTTCTGCGAGAGGTGAACTGGAAGGCGCATTCACTAAAGCCCGGAGTGTAGGTAGGGTAGCTTTCTGAATGGGCAAACAGATGAAAATGAGAATCCTATGCTATAAACAAATTGAAACGAATTACTTTTTATCTTTGTGTTAAAAAGGATGAGCCATAGAACACCATGTCAACATGATGTAGATTGCCAAACTTAAAAAACTGTTGAGAACATACTTGTCCAGCAATGGACTTTTAAAGGCTGATGATATGATGTGTGATGTGAGAACATGATGGGAGTCCAGCTTTACCTTATCTGTGCAAGTGATCTCATGAAGTGTTACTCACTGTGTATAAGTTATAGTTTTTTTTTTCTAATAAAGTCTACTTTATTTTATTTTTTATCTATTCTTGTCACATCATGAGTAGTATAGATTTTTTATTACTGAAATAGTACAAGTAGATAGCACGCAAAATAACAATATTTAGTATTATATTTAAAAGAGACTGCACAAGTACCTGTATCTGTTCTTGCGCTCCATCCACAGTCGTAGGAAACGTTTGAAAGAATACGCCAATTGTTTGTCGTAACATATCTTCATCAACTAAAAAAAAACATTATTACTATTGTTAATCTATATTTATTTACATAAATAGAAAGTTAACAGAATAAGAACAGTTATATAGAATTCTTGAGATGACTCGCTTTAATCTACCAAATAGTAGTATTGAGTGGAAAGTGAACTTTATTTGTATAAGCTTACCTGTAGCTGGGTTGAACCAGAGTAAAAGCAGCCGACTGAGTATGGCTGACGATTCTAGATGACCCAAGTGCAATAGTCGACATAATCCTTCTACAATGATTAGCCTGTAAGCTGCGCACTGTAATATATAAATACTTGATTATCTTACTTACAGATTTTTCTAAATATCGATAAAATGTGAATCCGTTTTTATATAAGAGAATGTTATGTATATGTTACACGTAATACTAGAAGACGTGAGTAAACCCAGGTTTACTTAGACTCACCGGACCGTTATTCGAACATTACCCAAGGTATTTGGGTAATGTCCGAATAACAATTAAAATTAATTTTAATTTAGGATTTACTCATACTCACCTAGGTCTGCCAATGCTGGCTGGGTAATAATAAAAGCAAAGTAAAAATTCGTTTAGTTAGTCAATGCAGAATACCGTCATAATCCCATTAAATGTTCTTATGGTTAAAACTATAATTTTATACTTACAGTGCTATCCATAATCTTCAAGAGTAGTTCAATAACAGTGCTATGCGTTGGGGATAATGATATCGCGGATTCTGATATGCTACCTGAAAACAGAACAATGCAAAGTCTCAATGGACAATTTTGTAAGAGCGAATCCTGTCATTAGTATCCTCTAATAGAAGACAAGGGAGGAAATTAAAACATTATTATTACATAATTAACGGACACAAGAACTAATACAATACATAATTTATTGTACCGATTGATGCCATGTAAAGCTGTGTGCTGGCTCCGGTGTGGAGTCACACACACTGGTATGTCGATTCACAACCACGGAAACTGTTCAGTGTAGAGTCTCTACGGCTGTAAAACCAGCCTATGGACGAACCGAAGTACTACGAGACTTCTTAAATCATTGCAAATACGTAACTAAAATATTTAGCTTTTCATGATTGTTATTAGCTATTATTATCTTAATTAAGGATAGTTTTTGGAATTCACAACATCAGCGTCGCTTACAGACGTCAAACTGAAATTAGTCCCCGTCAGATATGAAATTAGTCGAGCATCCGTTTCCGTAGGAGAGCCACGCTGCGGCACCATGCCATGTTGGGGCTAAATAATAACGCGGCCTAACAGGTGCTAAGCAATTCCCTCGTTACTATTTACTGAGTGAGTTTACCGGAGAATAATTTTTGGGGGCAGTGAACTGCGCACTTATGCCACTTTAGCTGCAGGTGTCCATGGGCGGCGGGTTTGACTTACCATCAGGTAACTGATCAGCTTGTTTGCCTCTAATACCATTAAAAATTTCCCAAAACATCCATGTTGATAAAAAATGAATATTTTTTTTATAAAATCCTACCATTTTTATTTTACCTGAATATATTGTTACAAGCCCAAAACACTAGAATAATCCCTTGGATTTGACAGAGCTCCCCAGATAATAAGGAATTTCCAGTACTAATAATCTTCCGTTACCTGACAGTAGATGACGCTGCTAGGATGGGAATAATGCAATATAATCTCAAAGCGTTGTGTTCGTTGTGCATTGCTTGATACTAGATGGCGCTGTCCTCAATATTCCATACAACTCTTGCTTGTTCATGAACTAACGACTTAACACAATAACCGTTTAATCCTATAGCACAACAATATAATCTTACCATCGTCATCGATAGTATTGTTTGTAGTGTGAGTGGTGTTGCGCTTTCGCGTTGTGTTTGCTGCTGTATCGATCTGAGTGTTCTCATCTTCGAACAGTCGCGCTCCGTGTACGCACAACAAGTCCACTATGCAGCGAAGCACGGTGGACACTGTGCGTTCGTTTGATGTATCAATTAGCTAGAAACAGTAAGAGAAATAGATTTATGCACAGCAACTTAGACACATTGCATTTTTATAAATGTATTTAGAGACTTGGTAATTATTCTACTTTTAGCTCTCGAGATTAAATGCTTAGTTTATAATACATCGTTTAATCATAGAATGCAGGTGAACTTGATACTTACATTAGCGAAGAAGAAAGCTTTATTCTCTTTGGCAAATTCCTTATCTAACATTGCATACAAAGCAACAGTCTCCAGAGCAGTTTCTATTATATCTGGGTTTTGAAAAATCTCGATCTAAAAATAAAAACAACAAAACATTTTGTCAGAAACAAAGTTGGACTTCCAGTAACCAGAAGAAATAATTATTGAAAAAAATGTTTGCTTTTTAAATTTTATTTCTATTAATAAGTTATTAAAATATATTCTGTAATAGTTTACCTCTAGCTCGCTGAATATCATTCGCATCATGGGAGTAACTGTTGTCAGTTGTGGAGTATCCAACGCGCAGTTTAGTATAGTCAGGCATTTGATCAAGGTCGCGGAGTCCGATACCTTCTCCTTTATAGTCTGTCAATAGTAAACTTACTGTATATTATTGTTCATTAAATATCGGAAGTTTATAGAATTAGTTGTGCAAAAAAGCATCTGGAATACTTAATTAATCTTCATACTCGAAAAGCCCACTGCTGTACGTACATAGAGCACTAAGAAATTTTGTACAATGAGTCATCTAAACTGCATTGTAATTTTAATTCCTAGTACGTGAATTAAGAGTGTACTACTTCTACGTTTTCAGTTTAAAAAGAACAAATTTAGATGCCATTTATAAATAGAGAAGTTTGTGGAGGAACAGATGTGATGTCCCTTCAACATAAAGGAAGGATCCTTCGCCCAGGCGAGGTTATCTAGCCTGCCGGACCGCAACCGCCCAACGGTTGATGCTGGTAAGATATAATATACTAACACGAAAACTTTAATTGCGCGATGCTGAATGTGGAAGTCGCCATAAATCAAAACGATGTGATGATTATATCCTTTTTTTTTAAAGTTGAACCGACTTCAAACAATACTTACAAAGAGCACTAAAAACCTAGCAGCAATCGCGGTTGATACGCTGTCATTTTTTGAAAAGTTCAGTTGCTTGTCTCCAAAACTCATCATCAGATCCCTTATATAAACCCCTTTCTAACAAAAAATAATAATTTTGAAAAGCTGTCTATATGTGACGGAGTTATGCCCGAACATACATTTTAAAAAAACATCCGACTTGATAACCTCCTCTTTTTTCAACTCGGTTAATAAAAAGACACCATTTATAAGTAGTGCATAATTACTATTGTTTACAACATTTGAGATAGTTTTACAGGATACTAATAACATGGGTAACACATTAATGAAATAGAATACACTTTATTGTACACCAGTTTGCTACATCAAATTCATGATCATCAGACGAATTCATGAGCATGTACAAATGGTGTCCTTATCTCTAAAAAGCAATTTTTTACAGGCAACCTTTGGATGGACAAAGAGACTGTAGATAGACGAATTCATGGGCAGTTTATTAAACAGCATTTGATTTTGATAAGTAGTAAATAACTAAGTATTACTGATTATAATGCAGTCAGTCCTAGCAATACTTATATTTAAAACCATATTAATACGTATAAATAAATACATATATACTTACATATATAGATCGCACGTTTTATAGCCATTAGTATTTTTGTTTACCCCTTCAGCTAAGTGAAGTGTTTGTGTTAGTTCAAGTTATGTTTTGGTGTTAAGAACATAGTAAGATTGTACAGTTAAATAGAATGGTGTTTTTTTAATTCAGTGATAAAATTACTTACAGGCATGGGTGGTGGTGGTGCAACTGGCTGAATGTTTAGCTCTTCCAACTTTTTTTGAATATCTGCCACCTAATCGACATGATAAAAATAAGAGTTAAAATAGGGACGCAATCAATAGTAGCGGCTCTTTGTAACATCATTTTATAAAGTGTAATATAATAATTAGTTATTGGTGGTATTACTGACAGGTTAACATTCAGAAAACTAGATGGTTCATCATCACCAACAGCCTTTAATAGTCCGCTGCTGGACGTTTTGGCCTACTATACCACGCTCGCCAAAAGGGTTGTTATAGGGTTTGTTTCAAGTTTTCCTTCTCTTTGTAGTGCTGTTGTTCTATGTAGCTTGCTTCTTTCGTCGATTCTTACGATACCCATGGGATGAAAATGGGGTTTTCTTAATACGTCACCACAAGGACAGTCCAGATAGTTAAAAGAATAATAAATCAGAAAGAAACATGTTCACTAAAAGGAACGCTTCAAGTCTGTTTAGAGCAGATTCACTTAATAGGCCGTTCATACACTATGATATAGAAATCCACATTGTGTTAAGTGGGTCTCGTCTGTTAAGCATATATATATATATATATATATTAATGGTATATATTTTACAATGGGGCCTTATATCAATACAAAACAAACAAAACAAGCTGTCATATGAAATGGTATACCATATAAAACGTATAATGTTAGTATTATCAGCTTTCATATGACACTTACTGTGTTGCTGTTAAAGACTATAATCATAAATAACAATCATACATAAAGGGGTTAAAAAGAAATTCATCATAATGTTTTGGTTACCTTAGCCTTACATTCTGCTGCGAGGGCGTAGTTCTGTTCCCTTACTGCTTCTTCCTGAGCCTCGATCGCAACATTCAGTGATACGCGAAGCCTAGCTCTCTGTGCGAACAAGACAATACATTTTTAGTATATATATACAAAATTTAAACGAGTATGTTGCCAGGTATTTGTTGTCTAAGTTTTAATATTAATTTCTTTCTTTTTGTCCTCCCACATTAATTCATAGTATGTATTTTTTGTTTGAAAATTAAACTACATTTTTTTTTGTTAACAATTTAAGAAATAGTTTGTTTTTCAATTTTTTTTTATGGTTTTAAGGTTCTATCTGATTTGGAAACTTTTGTCAAACGATTTTGTTAAACTTTAAAGTAAGGAAATTTACCTCACTGAGAGGCCTGAATGGAGTACCTACCGGTCAGGTCCTTTTAGCGATTGTAAGAAGTGTTTAATTTATTTGTACAATGATACCTGAAATTCACTTCCACACTAATAGTACTAAATAAATAGAGTTAAAAGATTTTTTCATGTATTTTTTTGTATAAACACGGTAATCCATGGAAATATGAGTTAATATTTTATGGCTATATAAGATCATGCTACGATCTAAGAGTGAAGCAATGACTGGAAATGCATATCATATACACAATAACTTCACAAAAAATTGCACTGAAAACATAAGATTTATATTCAAAGTCTACAGTGGTTAGTTTACCTGCATCTTGGTTTCGGTGCTATCGATGGTGGGCGGTGGAGGGGCCGGCACGTCGGGCTCGGGCGGGTCGCGCAGCGCGTTGAGCACGCCGCCGATCACTTCCATGCGGGGAGACACCTCGGGCAGCACCAGCTCTAAAGCTGAGACGAACGCTCGAATCACGTCTGAGTTGAGAGGCCCGTAGTCGCCTGGAACAAAATAAAAAAAATCTTGAAACATAGACAGTTAACTAGCTAACAATTATATATATATACGTGTATATATATATATATATAAGCAATTTACTAAAAATAACTAATTTACCTCTAACTTTCGGATATATTAGTTACGTTTACGGTTTCTAAATGTATAATTTTCGATCAAAATGTTTTTCATAGAATTAATAGGAATATAATTATTACTGTATATGTGCATAAATGTGTATGTACGGCCTGACCTCCTTAAACTATTGCTTACACTGTCCAATACAGAATTATAAATAATAAAACCTTTCTTAATTTTGCCGCATTTTGATGTATGTATCGATAGTGATTCAAACGCCTTTATTTAAGATAAAGGTATACATATATAGCGTAGATATTATAATTAAACAGCTACAAAATTGAACAAGAAATTCTGGTGTTTTCCTATGTTGAACTGAGAAAGTTGAATTTGTGTATAATGTCATTTATAACTATCAAGTGAAATCAGTACTTCTTTAATAAATGTCGGAAGATTTAGTATTTGTATGAAATACTAAGACAAGACATCACACCTTAGAGTTATTAATTGAGGGATTTTTAATGTCAATATATGTGCTATAAAATAATTTAAAAACGTTCAATTCACGTGGAGGCCAATTGTATTTTAAGAATTTGCATAGCCCGACTTAGAGTGATGTCTTAGAGAAAACCAGGGTTAAGCAGTTCTTTCATTTTTTTACCGAGTCAGGAGCCTAAACCCTCCCTCTCCTCCTGATCCTGGGGGGATGGACTGAAATGGTGTCAAAGGTGTCCTTGGGCGGTGGTAGTAAAAAAACTATAAACTTACCAGTAAGTACATCAGTGACCAATTGTTGCAAGGCGGTCCTACCGGTCGGGTCGGTCGCATCGTACACTCGTAGCATGGTGCCCAGTTCGTGCAGCACGTACTGACGAGTACTGAATCCGACCGGGTCTTCGCTTTCATCTGGACATGGTGATTCTACGATGCTGATGGACAATTAAGGGTTCTAATCGGTTAATCATTCTCAGATATACAAATCTCAAAACGAAATACAAACTACAGAGAATACTAATGTATTTTCTTCCAGAGAGGGAGAATAATTCAAAATAAGACATTTTGTTCTTCTCTTAGGAGTTTGCATTAACATTCTCAAAGAAAGGTTTTTTTTCACCACTTTCAAAACGTTGCGTTTTTGAAGAGCTAACTTTAAAATTTATTAAAAATTTTTGCAATGGTTTTTATGGATTTTCTCATTAATGGATTGAATCATTCCAAAATTAAAAATTTATTAACGACATCAAATGATTAACTTTTCACTGCTTTTATGAGAAGTGAGAGTGTTAAAATCTGAAAATTGACTTTCAAAAAATCATAACTTATAAATGGATAGGTTTTTTTTAATTCTGTGTAAAATTGAATGCCAAAGGCAAGTACTGTAGGGGTTTTAAGCTAGTGTCCCATTTTCACCTACTACACCTACCTATACCTTACACACTTATTTAAACGCCAAGTCTTATAACTTACGCTCTTATATATCCAGTCAAAACGACTAAGTCAGGTAATATAGTCTCCAAAGTCTCGTCATCATCAATCTTCTGTAAATGTTCCGCCAGGTGGCGCCAGTACCATGCCGTCTCTTTATTTAATTTTTCTGCAGGAATCAGACGCAGATTTTTATCCGTTGGTAGCCATTCCAGAAGTTCGGATATTGGTAAACGTCTGCAAAAATAGAAATATTAAGAAACAAAGAAGTACATTAATGACCGCCTGACATATAGAATATAATATCATTTAAAAGATAACATGAATGTGTTTATCTTAGTAAGTGATATTCATTTCTGTTAGTAAATGTTTTCAGTCATTTTTACAAGTCGGACTTAACAGATAGATGGAGCCAGCATTTCCTAATACTCGCTTTGGGAAGAAACGCCGAAACAAACCAAAGAGGTGTTTTTTTTTTAGTCCAACAAAGTTAAGGAACACTGTGGGAGTACAGTGTAGGGTCTGAGTTGGCCTTTTGAAGAAATGATCATAGTTTTGAGTCGGCCTGTCCATACAGACGGCATACGGACCCCAGCCATCGTGTAGCTTAACCGATATTAGTCAAGATCAACGACTCGAAGCGCGATACTATCGGCAGCAGGGCATTTGAGTAGGCCGTGGCAACACAATGCCACAACCAAAAAGTTACTAAAAACTAACATTACAAGCCTAACCTATACTCACATTTACAAGTGTAAGTAACACTTACACAAAATAAATTAAAAGTATAAAACCTTTTTTAAAATAAGCTTTTTTTAAATATTCTTTTGTTTGATACCTATATTTTACAAGTGCTTTAAAAATAACTAGTTCGCCATCTTGGATGTTCCGCCATGTTGGATTTAGAATGACGTCATACAGCTTACCATGCATTGTCATCCAAACTAAACGTGTACACAAAATTTCAGCTCAATCGGTTGAAGACATCTGCTTCAAAATTGAGTTGCAAGATTCAAATTGTAAAAAGTAAGATTTGACATACTTTTAGACAAATTATATCGATATGGTGTGCGAGGCAACGCTCTCGAATTCATTAAATCCTATTTAATTAACATATAGACAACAAAGAACAGACATAAGCAAGATATGCAATAAAACAAAAAAAAATACGAAATATGCATCTCATATTAGCGACATATCATATGTGGTGTACCTCAAGGTAGTGTTTTGGGGCCACTATTATTTCTAGATTACATCAATGACATTCCAACAGTTACGACTAACTCCATGACTCTTTTCGCCTATGACAGTACTATACTTTTTGACAAATACGAAATAAATAACATTCTTGACAATATTAATCAGACCTTAGAGAATACAATTAACTGTCTAATGAGTAATAATTTAATAATCTAAATATATACATTTTAAATTTTATATGTGATACATTTTAAGCATAGGCAATCACCGCAAAAAATAAATATCAAATTTAAAGAGCAAGTAATAGAAGAGGTACAGAGCACGAAATTTCTAGGAATTTACTTAGACAATAAAATGCCATGGAAGCAGCATACAGACGATGTATGTAAAAAATTAAATAGTTATTCGTTTGCTTGCCTCATTAAAGTTGTCGACATTTATACTGCCTTAAAATCGTACCACGGATATGTATCGTCAACTCTTCGCTACGGTGTTATATTGTGGGGTAACTCCATCAATGCAGACTGTGTATTCAGAGCACAAAAAACCGTGTATTAGAGCTATTTTATGCCTCAAGCAAACAGATTCATGCAAACCTTTATTCAGAAAGCTAAATATTCTTACTTTACCTTGTTTATATGCATACGAAACAGCTATATTTATTAAGTGTAATCTACATTTATTTGAACATCGTACAAGGCCAAATTTTCCATCTGTTTATTGTATATCCCATTTTATGGAAAATAAACTGAATTGAAAAAAATCTATAATTCAAGTTTAATGAAAAAATAAAGAAATTAGTAAGAATTGTAACACAATGATTTATTTATTACTACCTTTTGCTTGCCACTTTGCTCAATTAATGGTACGGCGGTGCATAAATTACGAGTAAGCAAACATCGATTTTTATATTTATCATTTCATTATTACTTAGACCCACCTCTGGTTTCATAACTATTTAAATCGGTTAATCTTCCCACTTTGGAAAGGTGATAAAAATCAATAATTATAGCAATAATGACCAACTTACTTAAATAAAGATTCGAGTAGTTTGCCAGCAACATACTGCGAATCCTTAGCGTCGTGCGCATTATCCAAGCGTATCGCCTTCAATAGGTCAACTATATTCCCTTGGAAGGTACTTAACCAACCCGGTATAAGAATTTCTTCAACGACACGACGTACGCGAAGACTGCGTTCAGTTAAACCTACCTGAAGGTTAAAAGGTTTATTTATATACAGTGGAATACGATATCCGCCTATCGAACGATGAATGAATAATTTTATTTTTGAAAAACATATCGTAAGAGCCGACTAAGGAAGCAAACTACGCTGGACAACAGCAGTGCAAGGAGAAGGAAAACTTGAAACAAACCCAATACCAAATCTTCTGGCTAGTGTGTTATAGAAGGCCAAAACCTTCTTTCTAAGAAGAGGTCTATGTCCAATAGTGGACTATTGAAGATTATTGATCAAGGGGAGAAACGAGCAGACGGGTCACATGATGGTAAGTCACTACCGCCACCCATTGACACCAGCAGTCAATCCTGATGAAAATCAAAGAAATAATTGTTTAACACTGGTTTTCTGTGAGGCCCATAACTTTTTTTAACATTCAAAATTCAGTATATATCTGCTTAAATGGAATCGGCCTAAATGACTACAGAACGATTTGGTCTCCCATGATTAATTAATGATAGTAAAATGGAGTGTTTACCTTGAGCGTCAAAAGTCTTTGCCGAACTCTAAGCTGTGTAACATTAATGGCTGCTATGTAAAGGAACGCAGCGCGTCTTACCGCCTCGTCAACGTCACATAATCGCTCTAATACAAAGGGGACGTTGCGACTGCACTTAGCAATAGACATTACAATAGCCCTGTAAAAAATATATATTATTAATATTAATAAATTAGATATGAAAGTAAAATTTTGATACTTAGTATTTAAATGTTTTGTTTCTGTGTTATATATATATAATATAAATAACTATAGCTTTAGTATAAATAACTTAAATAAATAAAGAAGATTTTTGCCCATTAGCAGACAAAAACATTTCTTATTTCTCTCTTATTTAATAACCAGCTGGTACCCGCGACTTCGATCGCGTGCAATTTGCAAAGCGCTACCTTAGTGTTGTAGTACGGTACGCTACTGCAGTCCATTAGGTCTCAGGCTCGATTTCCGGATCGAGTAAAATTTTATAGGGTCTTTCTGAGAGGAAAAATAAACTAAGTTACTCCTTATATAGACAGCTGATATAGAGCCTTATATACAGAGCAGACCTGGTAGTGAAATATTATCAAAATCGGTCAAGCCGTTTTGAAGATTACTCGAACAAGCAGACAGACAGATAAAAAGTATTTGAACTGGTTTTTAGGCATAGGTATCAAACAAATAACCGTGTGAGCACGAAAAAAGCCTATTATTTTGAAATTACAAACAGACACTTCAATTTTATTTATTTGTATAGATGACAACAAACTAGGAGTATATTCTATGAGTATAACATTCACGAAACAGACACAAACACCCAGACTCAGAACAATTTGTTGATTACACAAAGTGTTGTCCCATGTGGGGATCAAACCCACTGTTGTGGGTTTGATCCCCACACAGAATAGACATTTCTGGTAATTAATAAAAAAAAAGTTGGTTAATATATATTAACCAACTTTTTGTTTATTAATTACCAGACCAACATTTACTAACAAACATATATATGTTTGTTAGTAAATGTTGGTTAATGTATATTCGTTCAACCAATAGAGCAGTAGTCTTCGTATGCCGTTATACCTTCTAACAGAAGAGCTCGGGTCGCAACTCATGTGGAATCGGTACGCGCGAGTCACTTCATCGTCAGATTCCATGGGATTCTGCAATCGTTGTAACGCGAGAGCTGCTCTACAGCGTACGGCACCACGCGTGTCTTGTAGCCTTTGCATCTAAAAGTGAGGTATCGGAAAAAAAATATTTCCATCATAATTAATATTATAGATGTGAATGTGTGATTGTTAACCAGCCATAGTGAAACTTCGTATCCAAAACAGCCAAATGCTGAAGCAGGCAAAGTGAGCCACTAGCTAATAGTATGATATTCCATTGGTTATTTCTGGTTCCGTACCTCAAAAAAATGTATCGAAACCCTTATTGGATCACTTTGTTGTTTGTCTGTCTGTCAGTATCCTTTATCGAGTTGCAATTAAAACCATATACTCAGGTCTACGGTACTGTAAAATAATCAAACTCCTAAGTTAACGTAAAAAAAAGACACATTCAATCGACACAAAAAACGCATATTTCGACACTCAAGAGAATCTAAATTCATAGGGTACTTCCTGTTGACCTATAACTCTGAAATTTGGCAAGTAAAATCGTTTTATACGATTGAGGTACAATTTCTGTTATAAAACTCAATAATTTAAGTAATTACAAGTTTTGGAAACTGAATTTCGGGCATAGCTCGGCAAAAACTGCGAGAGTCGATTCTTGAACTATTTATAATATGCACCTACAAATGTGTACGGAACCCCCGGTGGATGGGTCTGACTTGCACTTGTCTGGTTTTTTTTTACTTTTCATTGTATTCATTCTTAATGTTTTCAGCCGTAATTAAGATATTAACTACATTGACAAAAGTAAATAATGTAACTTATCATGTGAGCAGTATTAAAAAACAGATTATATACAGGTTTTTTACAATTGTTTAAAAATATACAGACTACCAAAATGAAAAAAAAAATACACAGTTTAATGAACTACTTTTGTTGCATGTTGGTTCTAAGTAATGTCTAAATAAATAAATGTATTTTCAGGGACAGACAACAATTTTTCATTAGATAGGCTTTACATTTGCCAACTTTCTGTTAGTTGTATAAAAAAAATACCTGAGATGCAAGCAGCTTGTCACACAAGTCATCATCAAGTGATGCATCATCTCCCAAAGCTGAAAGGACAGCTGCCAAAAGCTGACTGGCACGATACCTGACTGATTGCCCCGATACACATTGACACTGTAAAACAAATGATTACTTAACCCTTTGAATTCATCATCATCTATGTTTAAAAACGATAATTTAGCTATCTTTTGATCTCTGAGTTCCATAAATATAATTATACATATATGTATGAAGTTGAACACAATCAGTAGTAGTCACTTGCACTAGACATGTCAAAAGTCTGTAACAGCTATTAGTGACAGGTTTAATGCTGCCTACATAAAACATGTTTTTTTTTAAATTATTTATTTAATAACTTTATGCACAAAATGTACAATGGCGTACCACATACCAGTCTACCGTAGGGTGGTGTCGAAATGAATGATATGTTATATGGCAAAGATAAAACATATTGTCATACAGAAACTTATGATAATAACTTATATTAGAGTTATGAGATAGTAAAAATATGATAAAAAAAAATAATAAAAGTCAGGACTTAAACTTTACTTAATGTTTTACTTTACTTAATATTAATTTTCAAACAATAAACTGTCTGAGTGGTGACGGATTAAGAATATGATGTACGGTGTGTCACCACTCCTATTCATTCCATGGGTGTTATTAGAGCCGATTAAGGGAGCAAACTTTTCAAGAAAACAGCACTGTAAAAAGAAGGAAAACTTAAAACAAACCCTATACCAACCTATCTGGAAAGTGTGGTATAGTAGGCCAAAACCTCCATTCTAAGGAGAGGCATCCAGCAGTGTCCTATTAAAGGATGATGATGATAAAACTTACATTGAATATAATATCAAATATAAATAACAGGAACTCTTCTTCATCATCTAAAGAGGTACAAAATGTGGCTACGAACTGTATTACACGGTCCACATTTGCACTGGTGTCGCCAAATGTAAATAAATACATCATGGCATTTTTGAAGCTCTCACGAAAACTATTTTCATCAAGCTGGAAAAAAATTTGGTATAAAATAAAATTTTCAAAATTCTAAAAAATAAACAGACATATCTGGGTACTTCGTATTCAACTCACATTTTCACCTGCAAGTGAAAATATTTCTGTGTAATATTACTATGATGTTTATTACTATGTAATATTAATATGTAATATTATATTATTCTGTGTAATTTATTATTGTATTTCTGTGTAATATTACACAGAAATATTTTCTTAATTTAAAAAATAATAGTTTCTGAACATAATAATATGGTATGATCCAATATTAAACTTTACTGTGGTTTGAAAACTTAATTTGTGTAGAATAATAATAACATATTAGTGCAATGAATAATATGGTAAATGTTTTTATCTCATCTTCCAATTAGTAAATATAAGATTCTATATAAATAAGATGAATTATTCAAACAAACTGTAACATAGATCATAAATAGTTTATGAAAAATTTAGGTCCAGGTTTTGCAATTTGGTCGGTCCAGGTTTTGCAATTTTGAGGTTTGGTGGTTGATATTTAAATTTTTTACAAACTATTTCTAGTAAAACTTGTTCCCTGACTTAAAATAACTAATACTGAAGATTCAATAAAATATTAAACTGAATAGGAACCTAATATTTTATCTTATATGTAATTAATATATCTTTAGAAGTTTGAATTCTTATGCACTAAGAACGTCAAGTATAAAAGTACTCATTTTCCTAGAAATTTTCATAGACAATATGTAAATTTTTATTTTTGTTTAGGGGGCTAATGAGCACAAAGGTCACCTGACAAATAACTTTATATCGCTTAACTCCTCATGTGCCCCTACACTGTGCAGTGCTTTTACCAGTAAGCTCTGTACAGTGTAGCGGCACATGAGGAGTTAAGCAATATACATTTCTTTTCACAATCATTTGTAGTTGTAGAACACGGTTATGTCAAAATGTTTATGTTGGGTTTAAATAAAAGTATGATGATCTTGTTAGAACTTCTCTCAATTAGTAATGTAAGAAATTTCAGAGACCAATATAGACGTAATAAGTTTTGTCATCAGAGTATCTACTACATAACACTTACAATAGCTTCGGCTATATATTTTATTAAAAGCAGCAGTTGAAGTTTTTGATTGCTGTTGTTAATCAATATTATCTGCTATATAAAAGATAAATATGGTTTACTTTAACTTTTACTAAAATGCATAGAATTGAAAAAACAAAGCTTTTAATTGTCGCAGTTGGCAAAGTAGCTATAATACCTTACCTTTTTATACAGTTTAATCATTTCTTTTACGTATTTCTTGTGCTGGACAACGTTATATTGTACGTTTTGAAATATTTTGAACATAGTCGGGTTGTTTCGCGGGTTCGGCTTTGAAGCGGCCACGGGTTGTGGAACTTCAGCTTCAGTTGGAGGCATTTTCTTTGGAAATTAATATTTATTGGATAGTAAGTTTTTACTTATATTTCACGTTTTTACTAAAAAAGCTTACATGAACTCTATAATTATTTGTGTAATCGCAAATCTAAAACGGTTTTGTTTTCAAACACGTTTGTTTGACGTTTATCTGTTTTTTTTTTTGTATTTTTATGGCCTGGTAACAAGACCTTTAAGCCAAGTCTTAATTTTTGATATGACGTTTATCTGAAGTACTCTGAAGGTGTTGCCACTTTATTGAAAAGAACATAAAACAATGTTTCGTTTGGCAAAGATCGCTCTTTTACAAAAAATGAACCACCTTATTCACAGCTAATGTTAGACACAGTAATACACACTTATACAATATTGTCTGCGCATCGCGTTGTTACCTGCGGTTGTTGTTATATCTTGCTCATCCCACGGGAACACTACATTTTTCTGGGATAAAAAGTAGCCTATTCCAGACTGTAATCTAACTCTGTGCCAAATTTCATCCAGATCCGTTCTTCCGCTTTTGCGTGAAAGAGTAACAAACATCCATATACCCACACAAACTTTCGCCTTTACAATATTAATTATAGTCCATAGTAATATTGAAACTAACGACATTATTATTATTATGTTAACTATATGACCTTATGAATGCAACTTAAAACATGTCATATGTAACAAAATTTTTACCTCTTACTTTTATTTTAACGATATTGTTATATTTTAATCTACTACAGTCTGTAGTTAAAAGTACTATACCTTCAGCGGTCGGTGACGAACTTAAACACTGGGAGAGTATATAAACACCACAGGCCAAGCTACGCCACGATTCCTTTGAAGTGTACCGACAAAATTCCGTATGTGCGCAACGATGGCCAAACATCCGCCAATGTATACCATTATATAACGTGTGTACACATTGGTGTCGGTTTGGTTCCAAAAGCGCACAGTAGTGGAGCGCCAACCACCCCTTTGATGGGGATGAAAATTTTGCCGTGTGCAACGATGACGGAAGGTTGCGGCCGGTATTAGTCCGAACAATTCCTCGGAGCACTCTCCATGATATATGCGATAGACAATGCAGAGTGAAGCCACATCTCTACGTAATGCCAAGGGATCGAGCCGATCGGAGATGTTTGGGCTATGCGATGCGGTCAGGAGGGTGAAGCTGCTACTGAGGTGCAGATGCATAAAGCTGAGACCTGTATTCCATATGTATGCGGACGGACTTGCGCCTTATATAGCTGAATGCTGTGGGCCGGAGTGAAAAACTGCCTCGATCTGTTCAGCACACCGAGCTTCTTTGAGGTTCTAAATGTTTTTTTTCATAGTTTAATAGGTAGCATAATAAAGGAATACATATTGTAGATTTATTACAGTTAATCCTAGTCATCATCATCATCATCATCATCATCATCAACAGCCTTAATCTGCCCACTGCTGGACATAGGCCTCTCCTTAAAAAGGAGGTAAAGGTTTTGACCTACTACACAACGCTGGCCAGACGGGTTGGTATAGGGTTTGTTACAAGTTTTCCTTCTTAGTAACTGAGGATAAACTGTAATAAATCTACAATGATGAGGCAATTCGCTTTGAATATATTAAGTAACATCGTTAGTTTCGTGTTATTTGCGCATCGGTATATTTACGTAGGAACTCATATTCGAAAATTGTACAAATTTTCAGTTTATCACAAAAACACAAACACTATCTAAAACATATGACTGAATTTTAAATAAACTTGACATGGTTTGCGAATAAAATTTATTGGAACTTCGAATTGAGCGCCAATACACAGATAATTAAATCAGAAAATAGTGGTTTTAAAAATCTCCAACTTCATAGGTAAAGAGCTAATACCTACAGCTGTGTACGAGTATGTGTGTGTTCTCAATCATACAATAATATGCAATATACCTATTTTAAAAATACAAGAATTTTATGAAGTGATTTTTAGAAAGGTTGTACTATTACAATTTGTTTGATTAATTGCATTTTAATAATAAAAAATCATTACTGTCTTATTTTTTGAGAAATAATTTGATCAAAAGGATGCTTAATAAATTGTATTAATTATTAATTTTAACTAATCAATATTAATCCAACTGTACATTTATATTTTTTACATTTGCAAATTTTTATAAAATATGTTCTTTTCTAACCTTTTTGGGTCTAACAATGGTGCAGTATTGAAACTATACAACTCTGTACAAAGTAACAGAACAATAAAACAAACTTTATAACTATTGTCTTTTTTAAATATAGTGTTGGTAACAGATGGAGTTACGCTGCTTTTGATAAAATTCTTAGAAATAATTATACCTTTAGTACTTTTAAAAAATAACACAACAAGGGGTGTTATTAGTTTTACGTGTGTATTTGTCTGTAATCTGTCTGTGTCTACTTGACAAAAGAGAATTAGGTACCAACTTCGGCAGTCGGCCCCCGCCCGAAGAGGTACGCAAGTTGCGTGGGGCCAGCGCTTTGCAGACACTCCAGACTGTCATCATCGAGTGGGCGTCAGCACGGGACCTTTCTTTCCGACCGACGAAGGTCCTTTCCGACCAAGGCTGCTTCAAGAAGTTTCTGCAATCCATCACTAGGAGTGAATTAAGTCCCGAATGGTCAAATTGCCCAGCCTGGGTGTTGCAGCGTTGGGACCTCATTACAGTCATCAGAGAGTAGGTATCTATCGCCGCCGGCGAACCGGGCAGCGGAGGCGCCCTAGGCTACTCAGCCTTCTAGTAAATCCGCCACTGATAAAAAGCCTAAAATAGAAATTAAAAAAAAAAAAAAATCTTCGACACTAAATTGGTACTCCTGACAAAAAATATGTTTAGAACATTATCTTTGGTTTAGAAGAATACCGACGATCATAGCTGTTACTATCATTTCTAAATAGGTGAAATGAAAAGTACTTATTTAAACTTGAACCATGATAACCTTATTGGCCTCATAATTTTGATGTCCTTCGAAAAATGTCTACGTCGCATTGCTCATGCTGTGTGTGTTTTAAAGGTAAAAGTATTAATAAATAGAAATTAATAATATGTAAAATTTATTGTGCCATTTTGATAATACAATTGTAAAATTTATAAATTATAATCATAAACCTTAAAATATTATGTACAAATCACATGACAGCAAATTATTGAATAATAGGTAGGTAGGTAGGTACTCGTAGATACGTTTATGTTCGTGGTAGGTTACATAACAGTTATTGTAAAAAATGTTAAAATCAAGGAATAAGTATAAACAGATGCAAATGAAATATGTAACTGAAATTGTTATTAAAGTTCTCTTTAAATTTGAATAAAATTTCGTGGTCTCTAATTTAAAATATAAATAGGTAGCATTATCGACTTAAAAATCTACTAATCTCTCAAAGCCCTGATTGTAAACACGGATGTTACACTACCACACTTGTCTCAGCTTCGATTGAAAAATATTGACAGTAATCATTATTTTGCTTCGGCGTACTTCGGACTGTCCTACAATCTAATAGTCTATTGCAACAGATACTCAGTTTTATTAAGCTAAGCAATGTTATGTAATAGCATTTCAGTCAAGGTAGATTAGCGAAACCCTAGGTCATAAGATTAATTATCCCAATTTGAGTATTATTACAATAGCAATAAAAGTTATTTAGGGCAAAATTAGTCTAAAATGAATTTACATTAATTAAAGTTTTTAAAATAAGTACGAGTAGGTATATCTAAAGTAGAAACTATATTTCGGACTTTTGTTAATTTCTGTAATTTCACGAGACACTTAAACGTCTCTTTAATGTTCAAATTAAAAAAATGGAACGACAATTTTATACTAATTGATTATTTGATTGTGACGTTTGCGAATTCATTTGTAACTATGTTTTAGGAGATGTATGCATAAATAAAGCTAACCTTTTTTGCTGTTACGTACCAAAACTGTGAAAAGAAACCAAATTGTCGTTGTATAAATACACTCAAATTTGTATAAAAACCTAGGACCACTAACTAGTAGGTAGTAAGGAGAAACGTCAGTTGGTTAGACAGAGAACTGATGCCATTTTGTTGGAATAAATACATAATTAAGGAAAAAAAACGGTGTGGGGGCTAGGGACCTCCGGTCGGAACGAAGTTCCAGAACAGAGTGTCGAAAAAAAAAAACTTGTTACACATTTTTCGGTCTCGCTTCCATCCGCTCAGAGCGTGTCACGCGCGATAAGAAACTTCGTTCCAATAATTTAGTATTAGCCACTAACCTCTATAAACACTATACTGGTCAGTGGTATTGGCCTTGTTAATGGTTGTCCAATTTATAGATTTTCAATAAAGTTCAGGAATTATTTCCACTATCTACATAAATAATAACGAATATGTTTATTCATTGAACTATCTAAGTAAAATTACTTTAAATAATTTTATAAGTTGCCATTTGCTCTAGTTTTGTTGAATAACTTTTATTTTGTTTTTACCTTTTTGTATTGGTATACTTAAATTGCAGCTGCCATTTTTGGGCATTTTTGGGCGATAATTCAACTCAAAAGTACATATATTATAATTGATACATATTCCTAACGTCCGTTCGTAACGTAAATGTATTAATGTTTATTAATTTTTGTGTAAGAAAGAATAGATTTAAATAATTATAAAATTTAAGCACAAGAATGAGGATGAAGGTATGACAGTAATTCGTGAGAAAACTTAAATCTTATTGTTAAGTTATATTACGTTATTGCAGAGGGACTTTATTCGCTTATTAATTAATAGTTTTGTTAACAAAGCACAGTTTTTTTGAAATAAAGTTAAAACTGGTACGATATGAAAGCATCCTGATAAAGGATAAATATTTTTTTTTATCAGACCAGTGACCAGAGAACAGAATTATTATACATATTATACAATAATACTTGAGAGATTCATCGTTCTTATCAATTATTAAGGTTTCTTCAAATATTGCTTTAAAGAACTAACATAATTACATTTTAATCAAAACCTATTTGCTTGTTAGAAAATTAAAAAGTAAAGCTCTGTCATGAGTTTATTATTCAAGGTCATCAATCAAAGAGTCGAGTTCCTTCTGCAAGCTAGAAGATTCTTCTCTCTGTTTAAGTACATCATCCTTCAGGCGGTCGACATTCGCCATAAGGAGAGCATTATACTTCTTCAAGGCATGAACCCTGCCTTCGTGTCGTTTCAGCCTTGTCGTCAGGTTCTCCTTCTTCTTGGGTAGTGGTGCATCCTGAAAGAGGAGTTGTATGTGATAAGAATGTCTCACTTTGTTATGCCAAGTTATGTGATTAGGAACTAGTTCAATAGCAGGTCTCTCCTTGATCGGAGAGAGACGCACCGAGGAAAACCTCAAAGTGGTTAAGAGGAAAACCAAAGTTCTTAATATCATTAGATCGATTTCCTAATGCGGCATACACCAATTAGTGACCTAGCTACTATTTATCTCATGGCATAGCCCTTCTTCTAGAAATAAATTGAACCCTTTTCTGACCCGATGTTGTGGTGTAGCTTCTGTCAGTCAGGAGTCAATCACAGTCGTGTGATCAGTGTATCACCGTGATATCTATTTTAATTCTTGAAATCGATAATAATTTTGCATAGTACATACATGTGTAAAATGAACTTACATAAGAGCTATTGAAAAATATTAGCATTAAAATATGTGTCGTACTAAAAAGAGATACCAGAGAATAAACAAAATACTAAAGCTGTACAAAATGCTTTTGGTTTATTGTATTTCAAAAAAAAAGTTTATGTTTCTATTAAGCGTAATTACCTCGGGCTCACTCTCACTTTCGGTATCACTCTCTGTATCTTGTTCAGTCTCTGTTTCGGTTTCTTCTTCCTCTGATCCTGACTTCTTTTCTTCTTCAGATTCTTCTTCCTCCTCCTCTTCCTCATCGTCCTCGTCGTCTGATCCAACATCTTTCATCATTGCTGCCATCTTATCGACTTCTCGTTTCAGTTCTTTGTATTTCTTTTTTTCATCCCTAATTTAATTTCAAACATATTTTTAATGTAAGTATGTATATTTGAAAAATGTAACTACAAGTTCTGCTACTCATCCTTTGAACGTATCATATTAAGAAAATTAAAACTCTAACCTAAGCCTAATTAAAATAATAATAATAATAATAATCGAGATAAGAGAGGTTGATGATGAAAAAAATTACATTATTTTACGTGCATCGTTTTACACAGATTTTTAATTCGTGTCGAAAGCCAAAGGTTTTTAATATCATTTAAGTGCTAGGAGTGTTACTAACTTAAGGGCGGCCTGTTGATTTTTCAGAGACATTTTAAAGCCCATTCGTTCTCTCTTCATATGGTCTTGTTTTTCCTTCAGGTACCGGATTTTGTTCCTCATATTACGGACTTCTTTTTCCATTCGTTTCTGTTTTTTCTCTTCGCTCTCTTCCTGTAAATTAAATATCAAACGATCAGTATTTATCTGTCCCTCTCTATATGCATGTGCATACTTTGGTAAAATTTATAATAAATCTTACTTCTTCTCCTTCGGATTCTTCTTCTTCTTCAAAACTATCATCTTTAGTAACAGAAAGCTGCTTAATCGCATGACTTGAACGCCTTGAGCCCATGCTTGTTGGCATGATACCCTGAAATATATTGAATATTCTCTGTTAGAAAAAAAAAATCATTTCAATCTTTAAATAATCAACATAAATTAGATACTCGTACACTTTCCCTAAAAATCACATAAAATAGATAATTTTACATACTTGACAAACATGCACTCAGTTAACCTGCTGCAATTACTCGATACAAAAACGTCAATGTAGTTATAGCTTTTTATCTATTACTTAATTATGACGAAACATATTACAGGTGTGATATGTGTTTCATACACATGCTCGCAAGTGTCAAAATGTAATGTGTGTACGCTTCGTATCTCAAATATAACAATTTTTTAAAATCATCTTTTATTACAATGCCAATTTGTCGAAAATATGATATTGCATGAAGTTTTATAAGCTTTAGAATTTGTTGGCTCCACTTTATAATCACGCAGCTAGCGCGAGCACTAATTGCTTGATAGCTTATCTGATGCTTACAAATGCATTTAAGCACAATTTGGTTAAGGCTATTTTTTTAATGTGGCGGCGATTAAAGTCTTATTACATAGATATACGATCAAAAATTTTTATGAACATTTATATTTAAAATAAACGTAGAAGGTAATTTTTAAGTAAGTTTTGTGACAAAGTTAGATGACATGAATTCATTAAAACGTGATTACGTTTAGATATATGTACCGACTTTAAAACTTCCTTGTTTATAATTATACATTTAGTTGAACCCGTCACGCTTCGCTTTGGCACATAATGATTGATGAGGAATGAGAAAATAGATCAAAAATAATTTTGAGGCGGTTTGTATATCGACTCGTTAGCTCGATCGAGTACTTTTTTAGTTTTTGAAGCGTACACAAACATAGGTACTTAACGTTTTTATAAAATAAAGAATAATTACGATGATTAACAGTTAAGTTTTACAGTGAAATAGTATCTAACCAAGTATTTTTTTATGTAATATGGTGAGTTAATGTGACGAAGACCTCTGTGACGGGGTTACAATGTAATTGAGAGCCATGTCGAGAATCAGTACATGATAACATCGAGTTACTAGTGTATATCCCAAAATATTATAAAAACAGTAAAATAGTAACATATAAGCCTGTGCAAAATTAATGTGAAGAATGCTGTGTGAAGAAACCCCAATAGCAAGAATATGATAATATTCAATAAATAAATTGTAAATATCATACCTCGTCACAAGCAAGGTTAGTACAAGCGTTACTTTTGGCAATATTATTGTTAGAATCAAGCGTCTTTTTCCTCAGCTCTTCGGCTTCAGGTGAGTTTAGTTCAATATTTAACAACTTGCATTGTTTTTCGAAATCCAGTTGCCGCTTTTGGTAGAACGATAACGGTTCTTCAGATAAATAAAGATCTTCCATATTATTCTGCAAAATTGTTAGTAAAGCAGTTATCATAGTTAAACAAAGCGGCGATGAAATCAAAATAAATACGATAAAAATATAAATTAGGTACAAGTACCGCCATAGCTTGTTCTAACTTCTTCTCTAATTCAGCATTCCTTCTCTTCACTTCTTCTAACTCAGTTAACGCTGTGTCTCTGTCTTCAGCGGCTTCTAAATACTGTCTCTCCAAATTATCAGCATTTTCTTTTGTTTTCTCTACTTCCATTTTGAGACTGTTTACTAGTCTTTCATCATATGCATCAGTGACAGATATGACGGTCTTATGCTGTTCTTGTTTGATGAAAGCTCTTTCTCTCGCTAATTCTGCTTCTAAGTTTGATATTCTTGTTAAGAGACGTTTGTTTTCTCTCTCTTGGGCTTCTTTGTTTCTGTTACAAAGAATAATAAAAGCAAAATATATAAATAATAATAATAATAATATTTTCGGACATCTGACACACAACACATCAACTTTCAAACTAAGCAGAGCTTGTACTATGAAAGCTAGATTGACTGCTAGAATACTTATGTACTTATTTTCGTAAACACAATTTTTTTTTCTTATTTCTTCATGACTTAATGCCTTAATTTCATGACTTAATTTATTCTCTGCCAGTCGACCGATTGGGCGATGCAAAGAAAGAATGAGGTAGGTGTACTTAAGGGAAGGTAATATTATACATAGTAAACACCCAAACTCCGAAAGAAATATTTGCAGATCATACAAACATTTGGTCCAACCCGGGAATTGAACCTCAGACCTCAGCACTGTAGTCGCATACGCTACCACTGCACCACTGAGGCAGGCAAATTAACAATATATGAAAAGTTTTTACGAGTAAAGTAACTTTTGTACGTTAAAAATAAAGTATTAGTACTTTGGTAAGACAATAAGTACAATGGGCTATTTAATAAGATATATTTTTGCTGTTTGCAAATTCTGATAATCTTTACATACCTAAGCTCAATAGCCAGCAACTGTTTAGTTGATTGAAGGTCATCTCTGACTTTGTCAATGTCATCCATTTCATCTATTTCATCTTCTTCGGGGGCGAGAGGTATCTAAAACATGTGTACGTAAGTAATTATAAAAAAAACAAGTGTATAATTTAACAAGTGTAAAAGTACACGTTTTAGTATGTTTTGTGTAATGTCATTCGATAATAAATTTAAAACGAAATGATGAATGATAATCAAATATTTTTTTTCCAAATAAATTATTATGAGTTGTAGTAAATAACATCGACAATCATTTACTTATGTGGAAAGTAGGCGTGAGTTTTGATTAGGGTTAGTAATCAATTAAGGTAAAAATTAATTGATATTCTAGACTAGAAATCTCAACCGGTCTAAAATATCGATAGATTTCGTCTTAACTAGTTTTATGGCAATCAAAATAATGAAATGGAAGCACACATTTACGAACTAAAACACTTGCGATTAAGAATAGAAATAATTAACTCAATATCTTGTTATGGGCTGTGTTTTACTCAATTATTCTTACAAAAGCTCACTCTAAAAATTGTGTAGTGTGGTACATACATGTGTGCTACTTGCCTCTTGAGTTAAGTTTAATTTTGCTCCAGAAGCCGAGGCGGCTAAATTTGCTTGAGACATGGATTTTTGTACTTGCTCCTCAATGGTCATCTGTCTCCTAAACTTCCTCAAACCTTCAAGATTTGGTTTACTCCTGTCATTAGTCTTAGTTTTCTTTAACCGGACGCCCTTTGAGATCTCTTTTAGTAGCTCGTTGTGTGAATTTGGCTTCTCTGACTCGAAAATAAACTGGCCTTTGTTTTTGACTACTGCCGATGTAGTTATTATAGGCGATGACCTAAAACAAGTTAATGGAGTATACTTTATTTTATATGATATGATAGGACTCACGGAGGAAGATAAGACGTAGAAGTAAACAATGCAAATCCCTGCGTTCAGTCTAGTAATTTTTCGAAGTTAAATATATATTTTTTGAGGTTTCAGTAAGTTGTATATGCTCACACAAAAAAAAAATTGGTCCAGAACTACCAGAGCAATTTAGCAGAGTTAATATAAGTAGAGATTAAAATTTGTTACAAGAAAATCTCTTGGGTTGCCGTTACTATGGACTTTTATAGTAATTAAATAAATGAGTTTTAAAATTATTACAATAAGTCTAAAAACATTACTGTAAAGTAACTCCAGTTTTTTAACTTAAGAACGAAGACTTACTAAGTGATGTTATCTCGGTGTATCGTTTGTTGTCACCAGAAACATAAAAACAGTGACATTAATGTCTCATGCTATATTCATTTTCTTTAATAAGAATATCGAAATTTAAAAGTTGGGAAAGAAATTTAAAAATTGCTGGAATCCAAAAACATAAGGAACAAAAAGATTGACATTGAAATACTAGAGAATAGATAAAATGAGACTGTAGCTTATACCAATGTAGCAATGCACAGACTCGTCTGTAGCGATATTCTCTACGTGCGCTCGGCTGTTCGTTTTCGGTTCGTTTCCTTAGAGAATAGCACCTCAGATCCATTCTTTTTTTCTGGTATAGGGGCAAACGATTAGTCAAGTCACTGATGATAAGTCTACCGTCGCCCATGAACTCCAGTAGCTCAAGAGAAACAAGTATGCCTTGCCGGCCTTTGAGTGCCACCCTCAGAGTTATTAAGGGGGGCTTTGCTCCTTAGTGCCTCCTGTATAACCTTACACACTTATTGAAAAGCAACGAAGTAATTGCTTAACACCGGTCCGATCAAGGCGGCTCATAAGTGTCGAAGCATGGGTCTCCTACTTTAATTCTTCAATGAAGGTACGAGAAGAGCAGTATCTCTTAATTTGTAGATACAAATTTATCTGTAGTATGATGTAAATATTATTTACCTGTCATTACAAACAACATGTTTAAGTTTTTTTCCTTCCTCTACTTCTTTCATCATGTCGCTCCAGTCTGGTCGTCTTCTGGGTCTACTACGAAGTGACTCTAGCTTCTTGAGTTTAGCTGGGTCTACTGGTGCCTTTTTGAATTCTGGCGGTGGAGGCATCTTAGGTGGTAAGGGTGGGGGCATCGGTGGGGGCGTGGGCTTCAGGAGACCTGCGAAAACGGCAAAGTAAATTTCAATAAATGCATGGATTTGTTATTTGATATGAGTGACAAATTTTTCTTTGTAGGTATATCGAAATTTTTCTTCGAAAGGTAGACAATGGTCCACAACAGTACTGGCACGTTTCCAGGCAAGCCTTTTGATATCCTGGCGGATATAGACGCTAGGGGCTATAACGGGGTGAGAGCAGTACAGCCAGTGAGTTGCACTGCACAGCTGACTGTTACTCCGCCCAGCATGCGCTGGAGCAAATCGGACGAGAACTGTCCTCGCCATCAATCTGTGAAGCTGTAATGCTCTCCCCCTCCCCCCCGAGATAGAACCTGGTTAGGGGTAGTGTCGCTTCGGGGAGGACCTATACCTGGGGCTGGCCATAAGGGTGGTTTTTAGTGGAATCACCACATACTTCAGGCTCCTGCGTCCAAAAATGAAACTCTATACGGATAACAAATTCTTTTTCATCCCTCAGAGTTTCTCTTACATAGGCTACTCTTTAACGTGATAACCGACATACACGCGGGCGGCTAACACTTAAGATGGTTTTCTCTTAAAGAGATAGATGACTATAGTACACGTAAATAAACCACAAAACAAAAACTAATCAAACCAACATAACAGATAATATATAATGTATTTTATATTGAAATCATTAAAAAAATACTAGATTAGGTATATTTAATTTGGTGACATACCACGAAACAATGTTCCCTGCGGTTCATCGGAATCTACATCAGCCATTGTGAAATTATTATCACTATTTATCACACAACAAGCTTTCAACACTTAGTTACTTCTACAGTCCACAATTTTATTCAAATGTCCACAGTATTTTTTTTCAAGGATTCAATTGACAGACACAAATATTTCGTTCGGAACAGATTTGAAAGGGAATAAGTTTGCATCTTCACTGAAGTATGAGTGCATTTACACCTGATCTGCGAACGCGACGCACGCGGAACTGTTCGATACTATTTTGGATCACATATAGACCACATGCAAGTCTGGCACACAAGAGATCAAAAAGGTAAAGATCTGAGTTCTACTTTAGTTGTACACGTTTGCATGCAAGTATTATTCTTGAGAGATATGTGTTCAAGAAAATAGTAAATACGAAGTTATCGGAAGAAGTAAATCGTTTTACAATTTAAAGTTACGTCATTTAATTTACTCCAGTAATAAAGTAAGTGGTCTTATCTATTTAGTGTCTATTTAGAAAAAAAAGTTTATTCCCGAGTGTTAGTTCACTATCCCAACTTTTTCCTTCTTAGGTATACTTTTAAGACTTTATCCATATATGGTCCATCTAGTTAAAACAGGACTCACTTATATTTCTGTTCAGATGCCTTTCTCCCTTTAGGGCTGGTCATAGACAGTAGACCGCCACTTGTTCCTATCTTTACATACTTGGAAAACTTAAAACTTAATAATTTCATAGAAATTGTCTTTTCGTTATCGTCATTACTTTCTACCTCTTTAAGGAATACGAAAGAGTATATTTGAGCTAGCACTTTTACCAAAACACTTTAGAAACACACAGTCGATTTAATTAGCAAGTATAACGAGCTTCACTGACAGTGAATCACTGTGATATGACAGGACACACTTTTGCACTCTTTAAGAATATAATGGACTGTAAATATGTGAACTAAACATTTAAGGTGTAAATACATATAAATTTAATTCATTTTCAATTATTTTTTAGGATACAGTGTACAATACACTTTCTTTTATTTATTGTCTGCCCACACAATCTGTGTTGTGATGGATTAAGAATACGGAGTCTCAGTACCCGTATTTATCTCGTGGGTGTCGTAAGAGCTAACTAACTAAGGTAGCAAATTATACAGGCAAACAGCACTGCAAAGAGAAGGAAAACAAGACACAAACTATGTATCAACCCACTTTTCATAGTAGGTGGTCAGCGGTTTATAGTAGGCCAAAACCTCCTTTCTAAGGAGAGGCCTATGTCCAGCAGTGGACTATTAAGGGATGTGATATGCCTGTGATGTGTCTGCACACAGTTGAAGTTGAGCTATTTAAATGCTAATTGGATCTATATTTCAGATATTTTATGAAATTAAGTATTTGATGATATACATATTATGTCTCATTGATGGTTTCGATATCAAAAGCTAATTTAAAAAAAAGGTTGGATCCATTGATCAAACATTTTTATGAACTGCCTGGCTAGAGGATGAATTAGAAGACAATAGGGCTGCGAAGAAGAAAACCTATACCCGAATACCTATATAATTTCAATAAATTTGTTTCAATTTGTTGTGCTGTAAGTAGCGGGAACACAAGAAAAGGTATGCTACCCAAGAAGCCCCGTGTTTTAACTTGGTTTGAGTGAAGGCTTCCAGCCAAGCGATTTACACAAGAAAAGGTAAGATGTGTATTTTTAAAATCAGTCTTGCTCATTTTCAAACTTTAATATCTAAGTTACAAGTATTGGTGTCTAGCAAAATTTTCATGGTTTATAAAATACACGAAAAATTTAAATCAATTAAATATGCTGAGTACACAAATCCTAGAATGAAAATCTCATTGCACTCAGACATGTAATAGTGCCAATATTGATCTAGATTGATGTCAACTACGCAAGAGATGGCCTAAACAAATCAACGTAGCTCTATTTATAATATACAAGAAAGTGCTACTATGTCAATGTTGATGTCACAACTAAGCAAATAGAAAAGTCTTGATCCATCTATTTTTGTGTTTATTGACTCATCAGCTGCTATTTCGATGATTATAGCAGTTGAAGATAATGTGCCTACTTATTTTTAAAAGTACACATAAGTTACCATTGTTATAAATTTCATTTATAAATTGAAACCAATATTTGACTGAAGGACATTATTGAATAATTTTTAATATTTACATACTTTTATATAGTTTGAAATTAAGTAGTCGCTAGGATAAGAAAAGCCATAAGGATTATAACGAGTTGTCTTATGGAAAGCTCTTCCAGACAATATTTTGATGAATATAGGAATTGTAATTTAGCCAATATGGCCGTATGGGATTAAGATGCACCATTGAATTAAATAGATGATGTTTGACTGCTAAACAATAACATTATTTGTAATTACAAACTTACAAGGCCCGTACAACCAGGTTGAAAATGAGGCGAAAGTATGTATGATGATATGCATTGATTTTCGAATATTTGTATACATAATTATATTTGGTACACGAAAGTTAAAAAGTTAGAATAATATTTTTTATTGTTTTGACATCACTAAAACAGATGCTAACATAAAATAAAAAGGTTATAGATTAATACATCGTGTATAGGTATAGTAAGTATACTCACTTCTCAAGCTCTCATTCTTGGTCAAAGTGTGACCCTTGGGTACTTCATTGGCCAGGGTTTTGTCTATATTTTCCTTGACACGCTCATGCAAGGGATCTCGCCATTTCTTAACAGGCACGTCATCTTTTGAGGGTTGCTTTTGAATGGATGGTTTACGTGGTGGAAGCTGCAAACAAGAAAGTGGGTAAGTTCAAACTATCAGATCTTAGACCTTAATTTGTCAAAGAGAAAGGCTTTAAATTTATTGCTTTAAATCTATAACTAAATTTTTGATCACATGAATATGTCTTATGATCAAACTTGAAAGAGGAAAGTTATTGTAGTCATGATATATTTCAGAAATAATACTATTATGTGCTTTCATATTTATACCTTAGATGGTGTTTTATCAAACGGCATCGGTGGTTTTGTAGCCATTGTTTTGTCTTCAATTTTTTCTGTTTTTTCCTTTTCTGGTACCTTTGTCTCAGATTTTACGGTAGCTGTAGGCTTTGATTCTTGTTTAGCTGTAGATTTACTTTCTTTGTCGATAGGTTTTATTACAACTTCCTCGGGAATATTAAGTTTTGGTTTTTCTATTGAAATAGATTTAGCCTTCTCACTCGCAAGTTTAGTTATAGGCTTATCGTTATTTAATATGGGATTTTTATCAACAGGCTTACTATTTAATGTGTTTCTGCCATTTCCGTTTGTTGAATCATTTTTCTCTTGGCGTTTATCTACTATAGTTACTGACTTCTCTTTGGCTTTGCCATCTATAGTTCTAACCGTTTTTAGAGCTGGTTTATCAGGTATTTTGTCAGTGACTTTTTCTTCTGATGTTGCTAGTTTATCGACACCTTTGAGGGCAGATTTAGTAAACCTTGGCTTTGTGTCTTTTGATTTTGACACTTGATCAGCTTGCTTTGCCGCTGATGGTTTGACAAGTTTTTCTTCTACGGGGGCAGATATACCGTTTTCTGATTTCTCTGCGCTTGGTTTAATTGTTGACTGCTTCTTTAAAACAGCTGAAAATTTAGAGAGATAACGTTATTTTCTTGTGTTGGGTTGTGTAAATATAACTAAACCTATTATATGGTCATAAATGATTTATGTTTGAAGGACTTGGACAAACATGTATTGCGTTCTATATTTAATATACATAAGGTTCTGTTAAATAATGTGCCTATACATTTCAAAAAATATTTTTAATTCAAAGTAGGCTGACAAGTTGGTCCTTCATAATATTAAACATAGTTTTAGAACCTAAACATAAAGTAAAAACAGAGAAATTGATTGTAGCACGTGTTTCGGCCCCGACGCTGCAGTTTGGTGGCATTCATACGTAAATAAACATGGCGTTTGCCAAGATGGCCGACCTTCGCTATTTTAACACGATTACATGTCAAATTCCCTATTAGATGGTCAAGCGAATCAGAAAAGAGCTATGAGATGACCAACTAAATGTTAACAAAGTTTCCTATGCATTACGGTACCGTAGATTGTCAAAATAAATTGTATTTTGGACATGATACAATTTATTTATTTCAATAAGCAATCTGTGCTTGTCTAGAGTACAAATACAGAATATTTTTGAGCCATGTTAGATAGTTAGTTTATACATGGGAGTAGTATATTCAAAGTCACCGAGCTATATTCCATACAATTCTAAAAAAAGTGTATTAAATCAAGTGGACTTAATACACTTTTTTAATGTGAAGACCAAGAACTTTAAAGCTAGATCTGTGTGTAAAAAAACCTAAATATTGGCGAAACACAGTATTTCCAACTCAAAACCAAACATTACAGGTAGGTATTTCCAAAGAGCTCTTATAGCTGACTTATAAGAACTCTCCTAACCAATATCACGTTTATTTTGTAAAAATGTCTGTCCTTTCTAAAAATATCGCGGATAGTCGGCGTCGTACAAAAATATCTTCTTAACAACGGCGAAACACCACGTCATGAAAATGAATGCTGATTTTTTCATTCAAATTACTATAATATGCTTAAATTTTTGTGATTTTTAAATTTAGTTTCGCTTGTTTTATTGTTTCTAAGAAACGTTAAACAGGTAAATACTTTGAATAATTACTTTGAAAATATTTATAAAATGATTAGGGATTTCGAAGCGTTTTGTAATAGCATAAGCTGTATTGTTTATATGACGTCACAGAATCTAATCGCGTTTCTTTTAAAGCTAAAGCAGTTTGGCAGCAGGAAATATTCGGTCATTAAAACGTAATACCCGATTTAACGGCTCTGTCTAATACTGTGTTTTATTTTCAATATCACGCAGCTTTATTGCAGCCATGTAAACATGAAATTTTTACAGATAAAACTCGTATTACCGGTTGTTTGCTGGGGTTTCACTGGAAACTGGCAGTTTTCACTATTAGAGCACAATTCTCACTAGTCATCCGCAAGTAATATTCGAACAAAATTCGGAAATAAACTGTTGTACGAAACGTGTAGTCCTCACGCACACTTCATTCCGTCCCGAACTCCAGACTAACAAACTTGTGAACGGTTTCGGAGAGGCAATTACTCAGCACTCGTGTCTCCTGCCAAAGCTTCAGCCAGGTGGCTGACGTCATCATGTATACTGACACATATGTAACAAATACCCACACTCAACAATATTATGCTCCATGATATATCCACAAGAAGCGTTTGTTAAAATCGTTGTAACGGAAGCTAGATGTTTGATTTTCTTTAGACTTAATGACAATTAATGAATAGAGTTTCCGGTGTTACTCTATGCAACAAATACCAAAATGTTTTAACATCTTCTAAACACACAGGCACTGACTTAATACTCTGTTAAGATCAATAATACCATAATTCAGCTTTACAACAACAATTACATCAACAAACAACAGTAACAACATCTTTTGGCCTGGCAATTACGAAAGGAGAGTTGAAATACGTGGTGGTCGTCTAAACACGATAGTCAATATGATATATACCTACAATAGGGTTTCTATCGTTTTTCTATAAACATGAAGAAAAATAACTACTAATAATAATAGTTATGTCTTAATAAACCTAAAAATTAAAATAAATTTATTTACGACATGAACAATCACTCAACCGCTCTCGCGTCTATGAGCTTACGCAGTCCTAAAATCTCTAACCACGACCAACACTACAATAGTGCTATTATGCAGTCTCGCTTATAGATGCAGTCTCGGTTATTGTACGAACATATATTGTATTAACGTGATTCCACCTTCAACAGTAATTACAAATAAACAAACTTGAAAGACAACAAACATTATATTGGGTTCCACTCCAATACCTAAAAAAAAGACTCTGTTTCTGTTGTAACGTGTAAATCATGTCCAAGCCTCATTAACAATAGATTGTTTAGTGCGCTACGGTTGTAAGTCAGTAATTTGGCATGTCAAAGAAATTACTGTCACATAACAGAATTAGCGCAATGTACAGTTTACTAAGGTAGGTATATGACATTAATAACATCGCAGCATCAAAGCAGAAATAACATCGCAGCATCAAAGCAGAAATAACATCGCTATAGATAAATATGATACATGTTTAAAATAAAACAAATAAGCATTACAATAGTGGCATTCATAATGTCTGACATCTCACCTACTATCTGACGGACTATCACCGCGCGCGCTCATTGGTTAAATCGAAAAGCGCACGCTTCCTCTGTTACACACTTTCGTCCCTTTTCTTGTAATCGATACTACATATTGCAGGAAAGTCAGGGAAAATAATGTAACCCCAAAAATCTTATTTTACTCCTTATTTTATTCTTACATTTTTTACAGAAACGTGAAAGTTACTATCTGCTGCAAGCACAAACCAAAATAGAAGAAAAATGGAGAAGCAGAAGGCCCAAAAACGAAGGAAACTTGAAACAAAACCTATACCTACCTGTCCGGCCAGCGTGGTATAGTAGGCCAAAACCTCCTTTCTAAGTCCTATGTCCAGTAGTAGACTATTAAAGGCTGTTGATGAAGATAATGGATAGTGACAATGAAGTCGATGAAGATCAAAATGTCAGATCAGATATAGTACGACAAAGTTTCGGTGCAAAAAGTCGTAGAGTGAGTGTAGCGCGTTTTATTTAGATAAATACTACATACATGCGATAATAAGAATCTCTACATAAATACGAAAAACTTAACTAACATCAGAAATAGGATTTATAATAGATCCTATTTAATTACCTATTAAAGCCTGAATTTTGAAAATCCCTAATGTTTATAATCACTCAGATTGTCAGAATGTCAGAAAAATCATTGATACGTATAAAACTCTTCGTGCATGTCTGGCTAAACCTTACGAGATAGAACAAAATAATGTACTACGGAATTGTATATTTTAAAAGGTCTACAAAAAAATCTTTGATGGTATATGTCTATCTCCTAAGTATAAAGCCCAGTAACCATTTTTATCTTATTAAATATTACATAGAAATAATGGCTTATTTAGGAAGCTATTTTAAACAATACATTATTATTAGTTATTCAATTAAATATGTTATATAGGGGAAAAGGGTGAAATGGGAGTCACTTAAACAAGAATAAATATAAAACACAAAACATGTATTTAAACTTTATGAAAATCAACTCTTATGGTAGTTTAATGATTGTACTATCAGGATTAGACTATTAGATTAGAGCATTTAACCTAAAAAAAATATATCTGTGACCACCATTGTCCACATTTGAGGATAACTATAGTCACTAAATCTATACTAATATTATAAAGCTGAAGAGTTTGTTTGTTTGTTTGTTTGTTTGTTTGTTTGAACGCGCTAATCTCAGGAAATACTGGTCCGATTTGAAAAATTCTTTCAGTGTTAGATAGCCCATTTATCGAGGAAGGCTATAGGCTATATATCATCACGCTAAGACCAATAGGAGCGGAGCACCAATGAAGAATATTTCAAAAACGGAGAAAATTTATTACTATTGAGAGACGCAGACGAAGTTGCGCGGGTCAGCTAGTAGTCAATAATTATCCCCATAATGGGAGTCAGCGTAGATTAACAATTGTCGCATACGTAAAACCTCATGGCAAATCCCACCCTGTGCAGTTTGCATGTGCCCACAATCCGTGAGAAATGCACCTTTACCACAAATTAAAAGTTGCGACAGCCAAATTCATAACATACTTAGTAATTAACGAAATCGTCGGCATCACCTATCTGATTAGACTCATATTTAATTTTGGAGGATCCTTGGTAGCAAATATTTATCAGGATCTTGTATCTTTACACTGCAGGCAAAATTTAAAACACTTCGGCACATTGATATACTTGCTGTGATCCTTTAAGAAGCTTAAGATATTTACTTTCTCTGGTCTGCTAAAACTTTTTCTATTTCTGCTATAAATGCAGGTAGTTAGTCGACCTAGGTGTGGTTCCGATGAATATTTTTGTTTTGACTGCTGTTGAAAACTTAAAAAGGGTATATACATGGCTTTAGCAGCATCCCTCATAGAGTAGCCTTGATCCATGAGTTCTTTTGCTTTTGATAGTGTGATAAACAACCACTATGCTTTATTTGTTAAATAGAGCGTATTTTCGATCTTTATGAAATAACAAACCAAGGCAATTAGTGGCAGTGGGATATAACTCCCAGGGGCGTATTGCGGTGACTCTTATTACCCAATAATACCCATTATGTGTAAGAAATGAAAACAAAAATATATTTTGTCATTAAAACACAACAAATATTTCTTAATCGATAATTTAGGCTCACAGCCGCACAACAAACTACTCTAAGTACTTACATTTATTATAAAAATGTACCTATCACTTATTTAGTGCACCCGTAAAAATGCATCGAAAATGCCCGAAAGTGTGCGGCAGGCTTAATTTGTGAATTATTGACACGTACTAAAAGAGTATTCGGCGGATCTCGAGCTGTCACCTAACGAATCTTTTAGGACACTCGTTTCTTTAGGTGTTTTCGTTTAGATGTTAGAACGTTGACCACCATTGCCCACTGACTCCCATTGTCCCTTTTCCCGTACGTTGTGCATTTAATGTAGCTTAAAATCTTAACAGCATATCATTAGAATTAATATTTTATAAGATATTAGAAGTTAAGCGGCTGTCGCCGTTGGATCGTATGTCCGTCCCAGGTGGCAACGGCCGGCAGGAACAGATCGGGCCTATATAATCATATTGCATATACCGATGTCCTGTAGTATAATCCTATCAACGTCTACCAAAAAGCGAAAGGAACTTCGCTCCGTCCGGGGGTCCGTAGACCCCTCACGCCGTTTTTTTTATATAAATTCTTTTTGATATAATTTTCGGCAATTTTCGGCGATTTTTGATTTGGAGTATTGTTTTTACGGATTACGATACGGATTTTTATTTCTTAGTATCTACTAATTCAAAATACGTATTTATGACGTTTTGTACCTTTATGGTACATACATGGTGGCTTGATAACCTAAAACAATCCAAGGGCCCCTTGATAGAATTTGCTACAGGCCCCACGCTAGCTTTATCCGGTATACTGTTTAGCACCGCACCTTCGAATTTAACTTCATTTTTTATTCTAGTTTTATAATTTAGGAGCTAATTCCACAGATAGACGCACATGTCTATCTGTCTCTAATATCTAAGCTCCAAATTTTTAGTCCATTTAGAAGAGACTATGCTTAGTGTTGCGGCAATGATAAGTTAAAATGTAATGAAAGTGACCCTAGGCCAGGTTTCTTTATTATACTTATATACGAAGGTTTGAGGTATGAAGGATTTTTGATAAGAGTGTTCGTTGAGTAAAGTTATGTCACTCATTAATCCTCTGAAATATGTAGAACCAGCCTTGCCTTATTTACAAAATAGCTTTCACTGTTGTTATACGTTGTATAAACAGTCGAGGGTTTAATAAATTAATGTAAAAATTTAAATAATGAGATTATATATATAATTATAATATCTACCGTCGATTTTAAACAAATCAATATGAATATGGGTATCAGGAGGGTGCGAAACGAGATAGTATTTTTGGGTGCTCTGACACGGTCAATATAATGGAGGCAAAGGTTTGAACGATTCTGTAATGAATAAGGAGTATTTATGTAAATATTCACACTTACGTTTCAATGGCTTAGTGGTTGCAGCTGCCGCTGCTGGTTCGGCTTCCACTGGTTTAGCATCCGTTTTCGTATCAACTGACTTCAATTTTTTCTGCATCCAAGCTGGTGGCGTTTCAACATCTTTTTCTTTCACCCATGGTGGTCTAAAGCTCTCCCGTCGAGGAGCACTATTATTGCTTAAATTACCGATCGGCATTGTGGCTCTGAAGAAAGATGTACATAAATAAGGATTAATTTTGTGTTTTATTTTTGTTTATTGTGGATGTCCAAGATATCAAAATCGGCATATTTTTGAAGAGCAGAAAGTAAATTCTAGTATTGTGTATAAAACATAGGTAGAGAAATTATTGGGAGTTGATTACGAGGCATATAATGCATCCAAGCTGGTGGCGTTTCAACATCTCAGTTGACGTCGACTACGATTTGTATGCATTAAAAAAGCGAATGCAAGCAAAAAATTAAGTGAATTTAATATAATTTTAAATTTTGCTATTGAATAAAGTAATTTCCATTGTCTAAATATATACTAATTCTTATGTCGTTTTAGCAATTTCACGCGATGTCGTTTGTGAGTGGAGCATACAGATCAAAAACAACTGCGCTATTTCGTCCAATATTGCGTCTCTCTGACGCAGTGCTTGCGACGACGCAAATTGAATTTAGATAAGAATAATACTATGATATAGATAGAATTTGGGCATGTAATATAATTATGACATTACTTATAAAGTTTTTCACGTGTGTGTTGCACAGAATAATTATGTCTGAATCGAAAACCCGTGTGTGAAAGTTTGATAATACACGCATACAAACGTACCTACTTGTGTTTACACACTATTTCTTTCGGGAGTATACCACTAAAAGAGCGCTTCATATTACGTTTCTTACACATACATCTGAGGCCCTAGTGCGAGTTTATTTCACATCGGTTCAGCGTTACGATTGGCCCGCACTGAAATCTTGACCAATCGCAACGCCAAACGCGCTCGCCGTCGAGAGCAAGTTGAAGTGAAATAAACTCTCACTAGGGCCTCAGATCTTTTACACTCACTTGCTTCAAAAATTTTGTCAATTCCTTTGTTTACAGGGATTTTCATACATCGAAAGAGATTGTAGTGGTGTCACATAATATTAGGTCCTTACATATTAAATTGGCGTTTTGTACGGGTGGAATATAAAGTCATTTTTTTTATAAAATATATTTAATTAATCAAAGTATGCACCGTTGTTATCTATGCACTTTTGCCATCTCAGATGTAGTTCATTGATCCCTTTACTAAAAAACCCTGGGGGCGAGAATCAATAAACTCTTTGAAGGCGGTTTGGACTGTCGCATCGGAGTTGAATTTTTTTCCTTGTAAGAAGTTGTCCAAATTCCGGAAGAAATGGTAATCTGTTGGAGCAAGGTACGGGGAGTACGGGGGATGTCGCAGAAATTCCAATTGTAGCTCATCTAACTTAGTGGTTGTTTGTTGTGCAGTGTGTGGTCTTGCGTTGTCGTGAAGCAGCAGTGGCCTAGAGCGATTGACCAATCTCTGTGGTTTAGCAGCTAGTTCTTCCTTCATGGTTTGCAGTTGCTGACAATAGATATCTGCCGTAATCGTTTGGCCAGATTTTAGAAAGCTGTAGTGAACGACACCGGCGCTAGTCCACCAAACACTCAAAAGTAACTTTTTGTGAGTGAATTTTTGTTTAGGGCAGGATTTGGGTGGGTCTCCAGGGTTCAGCCATTGCGACGAATGCTTCCGATTATCGTACAGTATCCACTTTCCTATGTCCAGCAGTGGACTATTAAAGGCTGTTGATGATGATGATGATGATCCACTTTTCATCACAAGTAATGATTCGATTTAAAATCCCTTCATTATTGTGTCGGTTAAGCAAAGTTACACAGCAATCGACGCGTGTTTGTACTTCGATTCACTCAATTCATGAGGTACCCATTGTTCAAGTTTTTTTACTTTCCCGATTTGCTTCAAGTGGATTAATACAGTTTTATCACTTACCTCGAAGCCTGCAGCTATCTCTGAAGTGCTTTGTGATAGATCCGCTTCCACAATAGCCTTTAATAATTCATTTTCCACTTTGGTCTCCGGCCGTCCACGGGGTTGGTTCTGAAGGTCGAAATTTCCAGAACGAAAACCTTGAAACCAAAAACGTACCGTGCTTTCTTTTGCGACACCAGCGCCGTACACATCATTAATCCTTCGAACTGTTTCTGCAGCACTGGTGCCACGTTAGAACTCGTACTCGTAAATATACCGATATTTCATGTTTTCCTTTGTGCGGTAATAAGCAACGCCAAAGAAAAAAATAATGAGGAGAAAACAAATGAATCATTCATTTGTTTTGTTGTTTTCAAAACTCAAATGTACCAGCTAAATGAATTTATGAATTTGATTTTGGAATTCTTAACCAAAGAGGAGATATTTCCGATCAAAGTGGTCAGTACGATAAAACGCTAATTTCATATGTAAGGACCTAATACATTGTAGTAAAATGCAATTTATTATTGGAGATTAATTGTCATAATAGTGTGTGCCCTATAAATTTCACCGTTGTTTTGCACGTGTGTGCGAGTCTTATATATATTTGTTTGTATTTTGTGTATGTATTAAGATGTGGCGACATCGGTTTTTGAAGAAATCGGGTGCTAATTCATTTAACTCTAAGGATCATATTTATTGGTAAGCTCATTACTTGATTATGGCTGCATATAAGGTCCTTTTAACATAATTCGCAAAGTTACAAAATTTAAAATTTTAAACGGCTAAGTGCCTCGTGACCATGTATCCAGGTCACATCTAGATTTAAGAAAATGAATATTGTGTAAAAAATAATCAAATAATAATTAAACTATAGCACTAAAATTGATTCGTTTCTGTTGCATTATTGGGTACTGTTAGGAAATTTTAGGAATAAGCATGTTCAAAAAAATCCCTTTTTTTATACTTATAGGGTAGGGTTTTGTTGGATTGGGGAGACCTTCGGTCATTCACAATCTGATCTGAATTCTTAGCTTTCGAGTATGTTAATTCAGCTCGTCAGGAATAACTTTTATTGTACCGAGCAGCTTAGTTGTAAATTGCAAGTTGAATTGCAGTTGAGTAAATTTGACTCTATTTATTATTGTAACATAATTTCTGAATTGACGGAAAACCAACCATGGAACGATATTTAAAAAGATCCGTTTTTAAAGTGAGTTAATAATTGTTTCTATAGGATACTCAAGAATATATTTCAGACAATTTTTTTTATAACATTTATATATTACTATAGTTATTTTTATATTCCACTAATTTCATTAAATGTATCAATTAATTTGTTTAAATCAAATACAAAGTATGGCAATTCAAAAAAAATCTTCTAAGATAACTGCCGAGAAGAAACAATCTAAAAACATGATCAATCAATAAAATAATCTAAAAATAAATGTGTTTGTATTAAATGTCATTGAAGCCCTAAATAATAGCTGCACTGCATCATTAAATATAAATATCTAACGCTGAAATACCTAACACGTAGGAGCAGCTGGTAGAAATTGGCCAAAACATACGTCCATTCATTGAACGAGATATATATTTATAACTTCGTCGTCACATAAACACACAAGTATAATTTCAATAGCATTTGTATTAAATAGTTGCCACTATTAGAATTACTAAAACATACATTCTGTTATTTGATTTATTCGGATTCCATAATAATTGTATCATTGGTTATTTTTAATGTTCTGTTATTAATTGATTGACAGTGTTTGTCACTTAATTACATTCACGACACCGAAATCTCGGGCAAAAGCTTGTAAAAAATATTACCTACCAAATAGACCCTAATTTATAAAGTGCCCATGTCAACATGGAGAGAATTGTCTGATATCTATTTCGTAGTTTGATTATGTATCATACAACGTAACTTCACGAATATGTTTATTAATATCACTTAAGTCAGTGATGAATATGAACATTTACGAAAGAAAGTGAATACGAATTTACTGTGTCCATTATATATGTATATTTGGGACGAAAAAAATCCATCTCTGGACTGGCCTGTTGGTCTACTGGTTAGTGACCCTGACTGCTACGTCAGAGGTCGTGGGTTCGATTCCCACCCAAGATAAATAATTGTGTGATGAGTACGATCGTTTGTTCTGTATCTGAGTGTACTTTATCTATAAGGAATATGTATGTATTTAGAAATATATAAGTACTAGGTTTTGCTCGCGACTGGTCCTTTGTGTATGTCGGTTATCGCGGTAGAGTAGCCTTTGTACTCTCTGAAAATGTATTTTTTTCATTCAGTACAGTTTTTTTTAAATCGGTTAAGTAAACATACTCCCTTTCACATTTATAATATAAGTATGGATGTTTATATATATATTACTATAGGCTGTGACTGAATTGAATTATTATCTTAGAAGCGACATTTTACTTTCACATTTCAAATATCAGGTAGAAGATAACTTAACTGATCATGAAACATGAACTTGATGCGGGTAGCATATCTAAAAGTTAAATAAAAAGAACTTTAACTTGATTTTGTGCACGCACTTTCTTCATTAGTTTATAAGCCTAGGGTACTAATGGCTAGGTGGAAAGACTTTAAAGAACACGCAGTTTATCGCAAGCTTTACCAGATCACTTTTTGTACTACTAGACTACTTACAATTGAAAGAATACATAATATATTTGATCATAATAGTTGGTTTTAAAGCGTTGTTGTTAAGAATAAATTCAATCCCATTAAAGAATAGAGTCGTCACTTTAAAGTAAGACTAGTAATGTCTGTCTGTAACTGCGAAAATGATCGAAAACCTCTTTCAGATTCTTCATTATTCTGTCCAACTTAGACAAATGTAATTAAAAAAACCTCACACATCTCACACGCGGCCGCCTGATCTTAAACTTGAACAGTGCCCTTACTATGTTAACCAGACTGCTGATAAACATATTTACTTAAATTTTTAAAATATATATTTCTAAATAAATATATATTTTTAAATAAATTTAAAAAAAATCATGTAAGCAATTTTACTTTACTATTTTGGAGGGAAAACCCAAATATTTATTTTAGGAATGAATACAATATTACAAAGAAATAGCGTTTATAGGAATAACTCTATCTTAGCGCCGATGTAATGATAATGATAGATTAATGTCGTGCTAATTATTATAGATCAGTAAAAAATTTAAGAGG